AATATTTCGAGAATGATAGCGGAAGAGGCATTATTAAGAACTATCACATAGTTATTTTCTAAAGGGAGCAATCTAGTTAAAAACCACCTTGCGAAACTCTCATCGTTCATATCTTGTGTTTCACTCCCAATGTGTGTAATAATAAGTCTTATGCTCTTGCCCGATGGATTTTTAAGACTTGTTTAAAGACCAGACAAAAACGCCTGCCTTGAAGATTTGACAGTTTCGTCAACCTACACATCGGATTTTGTATGTCCTGAATTTACCCATGTTTCGTCTAAATAATAATTTTTTTTGGTCCTGAATTTTTTTATCGATTTCAAAAATTTCGTCTTTACAAAATGATATCGTCTCGATCTAACAAAGCACTATTTCTGTACCTTCGTGCATATTTAAAATCAAGTGACTTAAGAAGTTTATAAAATAGAGTGCTTTTAAAATTCGGCAAGCTTTCGTCCTTGTTAACAGCTAAAAGAACTTTATGTATAGTGGATATTTCGTTTAAAAAAAAATTGGTGAACAATTCCTCGCATGGGCAGATTGATCGGTATCATCAATTTTGTCTAATATAGTTTTCCTGGGTTTAGTCTGTTTCGGGGAAGAAAATGTTCCTCTGCTCTCTAACAATTCTGTACACAGAAGCTTCACCTACTCCACAAGAATAAGCTGTCTATTTCACTATTTCCGATACCAAAGCCTCCAGATGCGATTCTATTGTCGATGTATAAACATTATAAATAACACTTTTTTCCGTACTACTAAAAGAAAGTATTTTTGACCCTTTTTTGGGGTAATTTCTTCCGCAGAATCGGTAGAACTGGACATTTTAAATTACAAATTAGAACTCACAACCTTGAAAAGTTTTAATAAAACTAAAAAAATACTACATACACTGTAAATTAGCAAACAAATAATTATATACACAAACAGTTCATTTATTAGAGCGAAATGCCTTCTTAATGCAGAAAGAAACGTTAAGAAAAAGTTATACGCGGCTACTCGACTGATACTGAACAAAACAAGTCCGATCCTGAGACAATAGACCACGTCTTTTTGTTTACATGGACTATCGCTTCTCAATAAAAATATGAGTAAACTTTTTATGACTATTCAGAACTATGACTCGTGATTCATAGTATAAAATCAATAATAACTTTTCTACAGCGGCAAATTATTTTTTAATGGAACTGATTTGGTGCTAAACCCACACTGGTACTTTTTATTTATTTATGAGTACTTTGATACCTAAATTTTTATATGAAAATTGTGTGATAAAGTATTTTCCACCTAAGAAGACCGCTTTGCAATTAAATGCTGGTAACTTTATTACTAGCAGAGCAGATAAGCGACGATATATTTTACACTACCTTTATGAATAAGATTTTACTGCTCTGTTGTTTCAATCAGCACTGCTCAACAAGTTATCGTTTATAGGTTTTAACATTTTATTCTGCCTACCATATTATTTCAGGTCATACCATGCCTGAAAACCTGCCAACTAATCAATAACCTCCTAACCAACAGACTGTTTCAAGTATATATAAACGATACAAAGAGCAATGTCAGAAAGCTAAATAATGGCCTCCCACAGGGTTCAGTTCTTGCTCCACTATTATTTAACATTTACACAGCTGATCTTCCAGAGACAAAATCAAAAAAATTTGCTTACGCAGATGACCTGGCTATCGCATTTCAAAACCAAGCCAAAGATGTTGGAGAAAGGGCGTTTACCGAAGACTTAAGGGTTCTCTGCGCCTACTTTAAACAATGGCGACTTCGCCCTAATACAAACAAAACTGAGACAAGCCTCTTCCATCTCACAAATCAGCTTTCGGATGACACCCTTAGTATCACCTTCAATGGCGAGACTTTGAAACATAATAACAACTTTAAATACCTGGGTGTAACGCTCGACAGATCACTGACGTTCAAAACCCATCTTACGAATGTAGCTGCCAAAGTGAGAACCCGTAACAACATAATAACAAAGCTTGCTGGAACGACATGGGGTGCCACTGCGGATACACTTCGAACGTCCTCACTGGCCCTGGTGTATTCTGTGGCTGAATACTGCGCACCGGTATGGCTAAATAGCGCTCATGTCAACAAGATTGATGTTCAACTAAATTACACTATGAGAGTAATATCTGGTACTATTAAATCAACTCCACTAAGATGGCTTCCAATTCTGAGCAATACAGCACCTCCAGATATTCGACGAACGGCAGCACTTGTCAGAGAATATCAGAAAATCATGGCAAATAATCGTCTGCCAATTCACCAATATATTCCGCACGCCGCACGAGACCTACAAAGACTGAAGTCCAGACGACCCCCTGTCCAATCCGTTCAGGGAATGGGTGGTAGCAGCTACAATAAGCAAGAGCAGTGGACGAAAAGATGGATGCCAACAACAGAGCCAGACGTCATCAAAATAACAAGTACGTCGATCGGCTTCACTGGATCAAACCTGCCACGCCCTATATGGACAAAATTAAATCGCATACGCACGGATCATGGCAAATGTGCCGATTCTCTATACCGATGGGGTCATGCAGAAAGCCCACAATGTGATTGTGGATCCCCGAGACAGACCATCCAACACATCATGGCGGATTGCCCAAACCGCAGATACATCGGAGACCTTCAAGATTTTGCAGAGTGTTCTCCTGGTGCAATTGAATGGCTGTGCAATTTGGACATTAATATTTAATATTTAACTTAGGTTACAATTCCAATTTGAACATAATTATTATCTAAATACTACTTTTATCGTATTGTAATTATCCATACGCTAAATAAAATAAAACATTTTATTGCTTAGTACGAGTACGGAATATTTATTTAAACAGTGAATTTATTACATGTTAATTTTTTTAATTTCTTCTGACGTATCGTATAATGTAGGTGTACCCAATAATCAAAGTTGTGCCTTTACAAGAACATATTATTTGAAAAATAAGGAGTACCATATGTCATAATAATTGTAATCTCCTATCTTCTTCTTCAAGTGCCATCTTCGTTCCGAAGGTTGGCGATCATCAGGGCTATACGTATTTTCGAAACTGCTGACCGAAACAATTCGTTGTTGCTACAACTATACCATTCCCGTAGATTCTTTAGCCAGGAGTTTCGTCTTCTTCCTATGGACCTTTTTCCTGCTATTTTCCCTTGCATAATTATTCGAAGCAGTTCATATCTTTCGCCTCTTGTAATGTGGCCCAAGTATTGCAGTTTTCGTTTTTTGATTGTAAATATGACTTCCTTTTCTTTGTTCATTCTTCTCAAGACCTCGACATTTGTGACTCTCTCGGTCCATGATATTCTCAGGATTCTGCGATACATCCACAGTTCAAATGCCTCTAATTTTTTTTTTTTTTTTTTTTTTTTTTTTTTTTTTTTTTTTTTTTTTTTTTTTTTTGTCTCCTATATACACACTTTAAAATTTGTTTCTATCTGTTAACGACACTGTTATCGACAAAGTAGTTCAAATTCAAACTTGTCATCATATTACACTTCTGTTTATCGTTAAAAATTAATTGATGGTCGTGGCTTGTATTTATGTTATTTATTAATTTAGCAAAATACATAATCAGCAAAAATCTTATTTAAAACATGCGAACGGTTTTTGTAATCACAATCAATGCAGTGTTTATGCTTGTTTAGCATTGGCTGTTAAATAATTTGTGTTCGATTGTTTCGCCTGTTGTACCTATTTTTTTATAGTAGTGTAGTGAAGTGGTACTTTAAAGTAAAATGAGTAATTTGGAAGAAAATAAAATACAGTCGAAACGTAGAGTGTTATCTCCAAAAGAACGGCGTTTAGTTCTGAAAGTCGAAAGTTATTTCAATTTGTAAAAAAATAATATAGGTCCATTGACATATGTTGTGGCAGTTCAGAAACGCACATGCGATGCTTGCAGTATCTCACAGAGGACATTCCGAAGAATTAATAACATGAGTGAGGATAAATTAAAATAAGCAAGAGAAATCGTCGACATCAGAAAAACTTTAAATTTGCACAAGTCAATTAAACTTGAAATTAAAAATATTATATATAATATGTATAAAGCCAAAGAACATGTAACAATTAGTGTTGTGTTACAAAAAATAAAAGACAAGGAACTGTGTGACATTAGTTTGTGGAGAGTGCTGAAACATTTAGGTTTTCGATATAAAAAGACAAATAATAGACAAGTATTGTGTGAACTTTCTAATGTTTTGCTAAAGGAAATAAGCAAAATCATCCTGGCAATATAGCATCACGAATTATTATTCTTCTAGTCATTCCGGTAATGATAAGCGCTATATTATACGTCATGCTGCAAATGATGGGGGTTTATTCCTGACGCTAGTTTAATTTTTTCGTCCACAAAGAATACAGGTGATTACCATGGAAATATGGATACAAATATTTTTAAAGAATGGTTTGAAAAAAGTTCTTTAAAAAATTGGAGCGACCATCCATAATAGTGATGGATAATGCATCCTACCACTCAAGAGTAGAAGAGTTTTTCGACTTCCGCCCTACCATTGTAACTATAATGCAATTGAGTTAGTTTGGGGTGTAGCCAAAAATTTTTATGATAAACATGCATCCAAAACAACAGATGACGCTAGCGTTTTTAGTTTATGGAAAGAATCGCTGATTATGGCTGAAGATTTGAATAAAAATTAATATAAGTGGTATTAATTATATAGGGCGATTCACAAAACTCATTAAAGCAAATCAGAATGAAGAATTAAAAAAACGGTCAGCGGTTTTATGGTCAACGGTCGTTTTCTTTGCCCGAGATATTAAAGGAAGAGCGTTATTTAATTTTATTAATGTACACATGTATATATATTACACAGGTAAATAAGTTTAATTCTGATGAATTACTGACAAAATATTTTCATTGAAAAATAGTTATCCTCTTATTATAAATTTAGTTATTTAATCGTCAATGACAAATTAAAATATTTGTAACTAATATTTAAAAATATAACTATTACCTTACCTCATCATATTTTTGTTTCTTAGGTACACCTTCAAAATTTTCCTGTTTTCTATGTGTAACTGGTGACTTTTTGTTAAAATTTCTTTCTATTTCATCTGGCGATTCGAAGTCCATTAATTTTGAAGATTTTTTCCTGACTCTTCCACTTCTTGATATTCCTGTTACTTCTAGATCTAAAACAATAGTTTCTGTTTAAACATTATAAAATAGTATTAATATACTTTTAGTGATTCTTGTGTTATACGATCACGTGAACAACTTGAATAAATGAAGCAAGTGCACAATCCGTGAAACAAATGTACACATTTTCAGTCCTTTAGTCAGATTTAATAGACTGTTTGATTTGACTGATTCGAAGGAATTCTACTTACGTTTCGGCACTTTTGTAAATAGTAAATTAACGAATATAGCATACGAGAGACTATTTTTTCTGCAGTGGCCGGCCTGTCTGCAAATAGTTTGACTTTCGATTAGATGAAAAGTCTTAGGTATTGGATTGGCAGTAGATGTGATTTTTATATGGTTTGTTTTGTTTTTTGATAGATTGTAAAAAGGTAAAACTTAACGCATATTTGATGGTCTCTCTTGTACGGATATAAGCGCTTATGAACAGCATCTTTAGAGGCAATTACATGTACCCCCTCATCGCTTGATTTTCTAAGATTTAAGGCTAACAATATGTGGAGACTTCCTAATGATCTATTGAATAACCACACAAATATTACTGAAATTATTCTTTAGAAATCTATCTTGCAGATAAATTTAGAGATGATGGCTCCAGAAATTATTTTTGTTCAAAAGTTTAATGGGGTTATCATTACAATGTTCAAGGTAGAAGTTATTAAGTTAATAGCCTGCACCGATGAGAAGGGAGGTTACAAGAATTATTCTTTGTAGTGATGGCCAGGCGGCAATATTAGTGGTAAAACTCACTTACCAAAACAAAACTGGTAATTGGAAGGATCCCTTAAACTGACAAATGGCTACATGGTCTCTTTAATATAGATGTCGAGACAATAAACGTCCATTCCGTTGCATACTAAAGTCTGTAAGGGAACAAGCAAGCAGACTTTTGTGAGTCCAGAGCAGTTACGTGTCATTAAAGAAGACATTGCAAGATAAGAGTTCAAAAATAGCTGAATAGGAGTCATCTAAAAAAACGAGGGGGCAAATCCATACAATGAAACTAATACTTAGTATCAATACAAGACTCTCGAGCAACCTCACAAACCTCAGTAAGTCGCAGTTACAGACACATAAAAAGTGACTGAGGCACTGTTGAATGAGGAAGCATTTATACAACATAGGTATTTAGCTAAATGAACCATGGCATGTGACACAAAATGCAAATAGGAAGAGTAAACTACTATACATATCATTTGCAAATGTAAATTGCTTAGTGATCTGAAGCTGGCATAATCAGCTAACCAAGAATTGAATTTGAAAGGATCCTAAACACCCAGTAAATATGTTGATGATTTTCATTGAAGGCACAATATTTCTTGGTATAGTTGGAAGGATATAGTGCGGTAAAATAGTCTTAGGACCATGTGCCAGATGCGTTAAGTAATTACCACAAAAAAGAACTGTAGCAATACATTTTTGAGTGACAGAAAATATTTGGACATTTTTCTTGATAGATGAGAAAACATGACTTCTTTGCAATGGATTTCCTTATTTATAACAATTTTAATATATACTGTGTCTCAAAAATTTTTATAAAAATCGAGGAAGAGCTTATCAAACGGTCACAAAAAAACATTCTTTATAAAATGCTCTGAGTTTTCAAATTTCCTCTGCAAAATTTCAAAGCATTGGCTGGAATATAGTGAAAATAAATAACAATGATTTTTAGTGAAAATAATGTTCAAATTCAAATGAAGAGAACAATGTTCAATGAAATTGTTATATATATATATATATATATATATATATATATATATATATATATATATATACGTTCAAATTCTAGGTGTCTCTCGATCGTGATATTCAGAATTTTTCCATATATCCAAAGCTCAAATGCTTGATTTCCCTTCCCCACACCCACTGATAAGGTCCATGTCTCAATATAGTAAAACAAAATGGATACTTCGATGAATGTAATATGTCACTACTTGTTTTTTTAAATCACAAACTGTTTTTGCTGTGCAGTAAGTTCTTCATTATACAATTTCATAGAATTTACAAGAAACACAAAATTTAAAGAAACTATGATTTGTACAAGAATTCTATGATTATAAGTATTTTGAATTGTGATTTAGCTGAAAAATAAAACAATCTGAAATAAATTAAACTTCTTTGGGTTGTGGTGCTATAAGAGAATCCACAAAATATCATGGAATAGAACAAGGAATGTAGATATACCTATTACACAGTATGAACAAAGAATGTGATCATAAAAAAGTGGAAGGGGAGAAATATGCATTACTTAGATTTGGTAATGCAGCTAATCGGATTAAGACAGTGATGATAGTTTCCAACCTGATAGGAAGACTCAGGTTTTTTTTATTTTTCAATTTATTTGCTAATTAATCCCTTTATTCAATGTACAGCTTATATTTGTACTGGCTCTATAACCTGGTTATTTGTTCTTAGTGCCGTGTATTGAACATTCAATTTGATTATAGCCATATATGTTTAAATATTTAACATGAATCTGTGTTCTTGGCTCTCTTATTTACATATTTATATATTACTTTTATAAGATTCGCTGTTAATATTGATATTTTAGAGATTTATCACATAGAGTAACAGATAGACAGGTAATGACTTGATATCAAAAAGGAACTGTCAGTTCATTACTAAGTATAATAGTTAGACAAATGATGATCTTACTAAGAATTTTTTATTGCCCACTATACCAAATCTGTATTTCAAGCAAAAAACATTTTTGCTCATTGAATATTCGATGTGTTATATTTCTTGTATATTTCCAATATTATATTCTCTCTCTAATCTATTTTTTTCAATGTTCTATATTTCTATAATGTCAATAATGCTTTCAGGATTGCAATATACAACCATTTGTAAAAATAAAGTAATTATTTCAATTGGCCATTTATTGTAGTAGGAGGGGTAATCAAAAAGTTACATGTCTGTTAAAAAACTAGGAATTAGAAATATTATAAATCATTCAACATGATCCCCTTCAAATGACTTCCCTTGTCAACATATATACTTCTCCCTTAATTATGGAATTAAATCAGAATTGTTTTTGTAATTTCGTTTAGCCTCTCCAACTATATGTCTTTCATTTAATCAAATGGGTCAAACCCCTGTCTTTGAAAGATCTCTTGAGTTTAATACAGTAAAAAAGTTAGTTTGATACAGTTTTATCACCATTTAGCATTTCAAGAAGTTCCTAATACTAAGATTATTTTTGTTCTTCAGTAAACAACCAGATGGTGCATGTTCAGTTTTTGGATTAAAAGTCTTGGCATGTACCAAATACATAAAATGTTACATTCTTCAGCCATCTCACCATTAGTTAGGCTGTGGTTTGACCAAAAGAGACTCTTCGCTACTTTTGAAGATATATTGCCCGCTGAAAAGATTCACCCTTCTTTTAACCACCTGAATCACTAATAATACTATAACTAACTTGAACATTCATTCCCAAATACCGCTTGCAGAAATTGAAAGGTTATGGTAGGATAGTTAACCAGCTAGTTAACCAGGATAGCTCCCGAAGTTGCATTCGCCAAGAAAAGTTCCGGGTGCGCTGCTGGAAGAGAGGGTGAGTTTAGTTGGTAGGCGCCTGAACTAACCTTATCAACATTCCAACGTTATAGTTCAGACGTTATAGTTGCATTTAAATATGCATAACTTGTTCAATAGAAACAGCTGTAACTTCTGGAAAATTAATACAATTAAGCAAGTGATATAATTGCTTCAGTATTATGTTCGAAGATATGTTAAAACTTCTATTCTATATCATACCATAAACCAATTCAGAACAACACATGACTAGGACAGTTATGTTGTATGTATGTGCATTAAGTTGGGTGCAAATTTATTTTAAAAAAATGTAATTTGAAATCTGCTTATCAAACAGCATTAAGAGGTTGAAAGTAAGGCATCAGACAGTTAAACCAAGTCTAAATAGACATATATACATGTATGCTACAACTGCAAATAAATTAGTATATTATCACTTTAGCTGTGGAACTTTAGTTCACAATGTTCTCCTGTGTGCAGGAGACTTTTGACAGCATATCGTCGGCTGTATGCAATAGTGGCTCAACTCAAAAATTGACGAAATAATAGCAAACTGGCACAATAATAATAGCAAAAATATCCGTTAGACGTCAATAGTGTCACTATAACATGTTGTCGGTTGAGATAAATTGTTTTTTGCAATACTGGCCCCTGGCTCGCTTCCGCTTTCTATTATAAATCTAAGCTATCAACATATCATTTCCCTATACGTGAACTTCAGAAAAAGGGACTGGGAAATGTGCACAGCTATGTTTGGCACAAAGGAGAAGGCAGTAAAGGTGCCATAGTAATTGGTTCATGCCTCCTGATGTATTTGGAACAAACATGTATAAACACCCTTTCTGACGATTTGTAATTCATATTTTACTGAAACAATTGTGGCAGCCAAGGAAAAAACCTGAAAAACCTGATTTCGATGTATCAGTACGCTGTAACTCATTTCAAAATGTCTTATCGCTATTTACTTGTCGGCCATATTCAAAATGGGACAACTTAATAATAATATAAGATTTATTAAAAGGAGGGCCTATTTATCTACCGACTCATTACGCCATGCTAATCCGAACTGCTCGTCGCAAATAACCATTCGAAGTACAAGAATTATGTCATAATGATTTTTCGACCTGAAAAAGTTAAATACTAAAACAGCGACAATTTTCAATGAAGATGTCCAAAGAAATACTTTTTATGAACAACATATAACAATATTTGTGAAATCCATGTAAAAAAAGCTCTGGTATTCACTACTATTTACAGATCAGTTGATACTACCAAGAAAAAAACAAGAAAAGGTTTAGAAAGCATGGATATTATAGAACTAGAAAAGGCTTACACTGGCAGCCTGCCAATAACTGAAAAGAAGAAAAAGACCTTATTAACCTTATTGAAGACAAGCATGTCCCACCAATTCACGCTGATTTCTACCTACATTTAAAGCATTGTTATTCATAACTTTTTCTATTATTACCCATATGTACTTTTTTATTTTGTTCTTCTTATAGTTGTTAATAAACACATTTTCTTATTCAAGTAATTTGTAGTATTCTTTATTAAACCTTTATTTCAGTGGATGGGAATAACAAAAAAATGCCAGTTTTGTCTTTGCCTTAATTGCCTTGAAAGACAAAATGTTGATGTGCAATAGTGGAACAACTCAAAATAATGGTTGTATTTAAAAGTCTGTGTTCCAATTCATTAAAAGCTACCTAACGCTCTCCCATTGCCAAATACACCAAAATTTTTCCCAAAGAAAATTATTGGCACACAAACTTTAAACCCCTGTTTTGAAAAATTACCAGTTTTTGTGTTGTGCCATTATTGCATACAGCCGACGATATGCAATACGCAGATAATACCAAATTTCTGGTGTGGCATGAACTTTTGAAAGCATATACAAGACGCAGATAATGCTAAATTGTCCCATCTACACATACTGAAAATAAGAAAATTGTTATTGTGTGTTAAATGTAGATTATTGCTAAATGTAACCAATTTAAAAATGAAAGTTTTTAGTATATACTTCTTAGTATTATTAAATATATGAAAGTGATAATTTTAACAATAAGAAGAAATTACACATTTGAGGGCATTTGGAGATGCATGTAATAATGCATGCAAAGTAATAATTTACTAAAGCCGAACTGGCCACATTATCAAAAATGATAAAACAAATTCATACAAAACATTTATTTTGTAATAAATTAACCTACAGAAAACAGTAGAATATAAAGTCTTATTTATAAAAAAAAATATTTAACAATAAAAATTAAAACATCTTATTCTACATCATCATCTTGTTTCCAACCATCTTCATCACTAAAGAAACGCCTTTTAACTGTAGTATTCATATAGGGCCTTAGTGCCCATTCGGTATCTGCAGAGTCAATAGTATCCAATGTTCCTAACTTAATCTCATACAGCCTTAATTGGAATCGAGGTCCTATTTCACTTAGTTCCAGCTAGAAAATGGTAGATTTATTTAATAATTTTATTTTAATTTTACCTAGAATTTATAATTTTAATCTTTAAAGTTACGATATTACATGGGCAAGAACTGGAAGGGTTGGTTTTATTAATTATATTTTCCTACATTTCTATCACATCACGTAATTCTCAAATATAAAATAGTTATTGCTCTTATTTCTTTTTAACTGCCCAAAAATTCAGTGCCACACATCACACAGGTATATGATTAACCTTATAGATTTTTCCTTTATGTTCCATTTATTTTAATAGGACACAATATATCACCCACTTTCTCATAGCTACCTAATAGTCATCCAAAGTGCTTATAACTACTGTGTAGAAAGTGGGTTTGCAAGACAAAACTCGCATCTTCAGAAGAATATTATTATTTAATCTATATTTAATTTCATTATCATGAATAACTCTTATATCAGTGGTTTTTGTTTTATAATAAATTTATATGGTTTTGATTTTATATAAATATGTTCATTTATTTTATATGCTCCATCAATATAATCAAAGGGATAAATCAAGAAGTAGTAGGTTATTCCACAAACATACAACTGTTTTGGACTATTGCGACAGCTAATATTTTACTGTGCAAGTAGAAGTATGAAAGTCATTTGGTCTAATCATTATTCAAATAAAAAGGATCTACTATTAGTATGACATCTAAACTAAAATTATTTCAGTTAATAGATTTCAGATAGACACAAAATTTATTGTGAAATTTAATCTGAAAATAACAAAAATTTTTACACAAACGCTCCTACAAATAAATACAATGACTTAATGACAAAGCTTACATAAACCATCAGTTATAATACTGGATAATGCTGTGTACTATTCTGAAATTTTAAATAAGCAACCAACAAACACCTGGACTGTAGATAAAATAAAAGAATGGTTAACAAATAAAAAATTACATTTCCTCAATATTGTTCTAAGCCTCAATTACTAATGTTACATATTATGATAACCATATTGGATACAAATGGACGAGACAGTGTTGGAAACATGACAACAAGCATTGGATATTGCCACTACTGAAATTTGGGAAAAAAGTGTGAAAAAATCTGAACACTTAATTGAAGAATGGTGGATCTGTGAAGGTTGCATCGAAGCAGTTAATCCTGTTATAATTTACCATCAGAATGAGGATAGCAACGACAGTGATTATGGCTGTAAATCTGATGGTTGATGATAGTTTTGGGAGATTAGGAGAATAAGAGAATAAGTAAGTTTTTTTGATTTTTTAATACTAATTGAATATTCAACCAAATAAATTACACTATTTAATTGCTTAAGTATTGTAATACTTTGTTTAAATCACTTAATTCAAAAACCAACTTGTTTACAATACTAAACTCAATGATAGTAATTATATACTTCAAAATCTGAATTACAACTGTTCTATAAACTATTAACTTTATATTTATATCATGACTTCATATATAAATCTAAGACTTATTTATATCTGTCATAACAGTATTTTTAAAATGGGGAGAATTTACTATTGTACAATTTAGCACATTGGACCATTTAAATCGATACCTTAAACCAAATTTAAAACAGTCACATATTCGTGAAATAGAGTATAATACAAAAATGATGTATGTCACTACATCTACATAAACTAAGCATTTGTAATCAGGTAGACTTTGGTGGATACAAAAAATATTGTAATAGCAAAATAGCAGCTTGTTTCAATGATTCAATATGACTTTCTACTTATATGGTATTACACTGGAACCTGCTTAATTCGAACTTTGCTAATTCAAAATCTTGTTTAATTTGAATGTTTATTCTGATCCCTAGCATTTCATATATAAGTAATGGTAAAAAGTCTTGAATAATTCGAATTATATTTTGGATAATTCGAACTTTTCTAAGAGTTAAAAATGCCAATTTCATGCTGTAAATTTTAGGAGAAATAGGTAATATTCTTTCCTGTCCTAACATGCCACTTGTTTCAAGACCATTGTACATTGTACCCATACCTGGCACCTAAATTCTCCCCCACCTGCCGGGGGGGCATCACGTCAGTGTCACTTCGTATTGAGCAAATAAACTTCGAACATACAAAACTTTGACATTATCATCGAAAAAAAATAGCGGAAATTAATTAAGTAGAAAAGGGGACGAAGAAAAAATCGGCTAATGCACGTTATTTTATTAACGTCAAGTCAAAACCAGTAGAACATGTGAGCAACGTAAGAGCTTGGATGACTAGTAATCTTTTCGAGAAATGGATGAAAAAATTAGATGAAAATTTCATAAAAGAAAAAAGAAAAGGTATTTTGTTTAGTGACAACTATACGACACACAACACTATACCACTCATGGAAAATATAAACGTTATTTTTTTTCCTGCTAACATGACTTCAGTTCTCCAGCCTATGGAGCAAGGTGTCATAAAAATCATTTTTACAGAAGTTTTTTGATTGAAAACATTGACGGAAGAAATAATTGTCTATTTTTTATAGCTTGCAAATGTTTTATTTGGTATTCTTGGCCGAATTTTGTTGGCTCATTTTTTTGGTTGACAAAATTCAGGCAAAATAGGAACGAAAACAACTGCAAGCGATAAAAATGGTCAACTATTGTTGACTATTTTTTAAGCAGATGTTTTTGTAGGCATCTTTGTTTTTTGTGGATATATTTTTAAGTAGAATTTTTGTATAATTTTGCAAGCAATAATATATTTCGATATTTCTGCAGAAAACATCTACAAGCAATAAAAATGGTCAACTATTGTTGATTTTTATCATTTTAAGATGTTTTTGTAGGCATCTTTGTTTTTTGTGAATATATTTTTAATTCGAATTTTTGCATATTTCAAATTTTTTTAAGGGTCCCCTGAAATTCGACTTATCCAAGTTTCACTGTATTTAAAAAATTTATAGTTTGTAAATGCACTTTGAATACAACAATGCTAAAAAAAGTACATAAATACAGCAATCAAAGAACAAATAATAGAAAAATAAGGCCAAACAATACATATATTTCCAAAGGAAGACCAGGTACATCAAAGACTAAATAGCTTTTAGACAACATAGAAAACAAAAGTACAAAAGAACAAAAGTGTCATATAGATCAATAAAGTATAAAAACATAAATGAACTTATAATAGTCACAAGCAGTCACTATGCAGATGGGATTTGTAAAAATTTCTAAGCATATACTTATAAATGTAACGCTTTGAATTTAGTAAAGATAACAAAAAATAATATGTGTTAAATAACTTAACACTAAAACCAGAATATCAACCCACTTCCACTCTTGCCTTTTACTCAATTGATTAAAATAAAAAAAACTCACCTGTCTGTCCACAGTTTTGTAAGTGTGATGTCTAAAACTGATATAATCATCATGATTAGCAAAAGTTATAACTCTTTTAGAATCCTCCTTTGGCACTGGGAATAAATATTTCAAAATATTTCCTGTTCGTTCTGCTAATGTTGTTTTGAAGTTATGAAATATCAGATGTGGATACTGCTCAGATACAGTTCCAAGATCAGGTATATCATGCCTCATTACTACATCTGACATATTAAAATATGCTGTGGGGCCATAAGGTAAATGACAAATAACTAGACTATCAGGTACACCCCTATGTTCATGAACTACAATAAAGTCTGTAACATCATTAGCTCTACATGCCTGAATTAATTGTTTCATTTCATAATTACCACGATTCATTCTTTGAGCATTAGGAAATATTAACCTAAGTTCTTTTGCAAACATTTTCAATCTTGAACTGGGATCTCTTGAAGTGGTAATTACAATTTTTGGATCTTCTACACCTGCATATCTATATTCATCATCCTGTGAATTGGCTACAGCACCACCACTTTCACCCCCAAGGAGTGTTGCAGCTTGTGGTCCTGAATCTTCCCATTCTATTTTCTTGGCATAATGAAGTGCTTTCTTTTGTAGATCCCCATGAATGGTGGTGTGTTGATCAAGGCTCTTTTTTATTCGGTCTTTTTTATCCTGAATTGATTTTTGCTTATCTTCAATAGTTTTTCTATACAAATATTCCCTTCTTAAACGGGCCTGCCTTCGAATCATTTTTATATTATTGAATTTGAATTAGTTTTAAAAATACAGCCAACCACATGGAATGAGACACAAACAGATATTTAACCTCAAAATTAAAATTCATTGTAATGTCAACTGTCAAATTATTTCATTTTGACATTTAAGCAATTTATAAATAATAACAAATTTATTTTTAGAAGCCGTATACATAATATTGCATATATTCTTATACATTTCCATTTCAATACACTGCTACTTTACAAAGAGTGCATATAAAATTAAAAAGTCATAATAAACAGGATTATATAATATTTACCTTCAGTTTTTGGCTTTTTCGAAGAAAAGTTATCCATTACTGCAAAGCTTCACTAAAGCCAGTTAATGAAATATTTCTTTTAAAAACTGAAAATATTAAATAACACTAAGGGTTCAATAAAGAAAGTAATTAATGTACGCTTTTTGAACAGATTGTCTTACATTCTTCCTTCAGAAAACGCGGTTATATATTTAGGTGTGAAGTTAGAAGCATTACATTTCTCATTTCTTCTTTTCCCAAGATAAAAATTACTAGGTTCAGTCTTTTTCTATATGGTTGTCTTTTTTTAATTATTTTGAATACATCACAAATTTCAATATATATTTATTAATATATATATATAACACCTTGTCTCGATTTTGCTTTAATAGGAAAATATAATACATGCTATTGTCTATTACTTCGTTTAGAAGTAAACTATTGAACCAATAACGTAACGCCTAGCTGCGGATTGTCGATTTTCGAAAAAAAGGCAGATTGTGTAGAAGAGAAGTTAATAGCAGATAGCATGTGTTAATTTGAGGTTAAATAAAATATTTTAATATGGTTCATAATAATCAAATGCTAAAAGATTAAATATAAAGAAGCAATACTTTCAGTGATACTAGAAATAATTAGAATGGCACAGTGTAAAATCCATAATATTAGATTCTATAATCCAGAACCACAAGCAATTCGATGTATGAAGATTCAGAATTCCACTAAAAAGCTAGCATTATGTAGAACAGACGCAACAATAGAAATATGGAACCTACAGAATACGTGGTTTTTAGAAAGAACTATAGCACCTAGTACGGATAATTTTAGTATAGAAGATGTTGTGTGGTGTGATAATCGACTTTTTAGTGTAGGACTACATGGACTGTTAATTGAATACAATTTGTCAAAACTTTGTATAGAAAATCGATGGGCAGTTACAGGTGAGGCAGCATTTTGCTTAGATATCAATAAAACTGGTTCCAAAATTGCTATAGGAACAGAACAAGGATATTTGAATATATTTACTGTCAATAAAGATGGTGTATATTTTGAAAAATTCTTAGACAAACAAGAGGGACGAATAATGTGTCTTAAATTTGATGCCACTGGTGACTTTATTGCAAGTGGAAGTATTGATGCTATTAGAATATGGAATGTACAGTCTGGCCATGCCATTCACAAAATGACAACAGGAAGAGCAGAAAACAATAAGCCAACTATTGTGTGGTGCATAGATATAACTGATGACTTTACAGTGATTACAGGAGACTCTAGGGGAAAACTGTCATTTTGGGATGGTAAAGTTGGCTCTCAAATAGAAAGTTATCAGTCACATAAGGCTGATATTTTAACAATTACATTATCTAGTGACCAAAGTTCTTTATACTGTGCAGGAGTTGATCCAAACATTACCAGTTATCAAAAAGTCACTATCAAGGGTGGTACACAAAAGTGGGTTAGAAGTATCCAAAGAAAAATTCATGAACATGATGTGAATTCCCTTGTTTTGTTGGATAACAAACTCTATTCTGGAGGAGCAGATAGCTACTTAGCATGTAGTTATCATCCTCCCAAGACTCTCCTTAAACTACCACCATTACTTCAAAATCCTTGTGCCCAGGTTGCATCTTCTTCAAATTATTTATTACTAAAGTTTTCTAAGCATATTGAAATATGGAGTCTTGGTAAGAGCAAAAATGTTGATGTCAGTTTTAGGGGATTAATTCCTTTGAAAGAAGAACCAAAAAAACTGTTAGAATTGAAAAGAGTAACAAAGAATTATGATGGCGAAGAAGATAAAGAAGGTATAATCTCGTGTGCTATATCTAATAATGGAAAATGGATAATATATAGTACTGCAAAAGGTGTAAATCTATTCCAATTTATACATGATGAAGAAACACCAAATCTTATAAAAGTAGATGATCTTGAAAATAAGAATATCCCATGTTTATTAGTAGCCTTTGCCCCAAATAATTCACAACTAATTGCATGTCAAAACACAGGAAACATTGTTATTTATAGGCTTTTAGATCAGAGAGTTTCCATATCCCAAGTGATTCAATGTGAAGAGATATGTTACATGTATAACATTTCTACTAATTAGTTCATGTAGTAAATATATAGTTGTTGGTGATATTGAGAGTAATATAGTAGTGTTTCAGTGGAACGCAAAGAAACAAGAATGGATACATCACTGTAAACTTCCGAAATATAGATGTCCTCCTACTGCCATGGCCATTCATCCCTCATCTACAAATTTAGTGGTAGTTTATTCAGACTGTAAATTAATAGAGTATAGCATTGTTAAAAAACATTTTACATCATTTTCAAAAGATTTTGAAAACAGTGAGTGGAAATCTAGGCCTTACCCAATCAGGAATGTTGCTTTTGATCCTAGAAGAGAAAATATTATCATACTACAAGATGACAGTAATATAATAATTATCAATAAAGAAAAAGAGACTACTGGAAAGAAACAGAAGGAACCCAAAGTTTTAAAAAAATATTTTGCAGATATTAAAGGAAATGGTAGTCTTGATGTGTCCAAAGAATTTAATTTTAATTCAATTAAAAAGTACAAGCATTTGGCATATCTCGAATGGCTTCATGAAGATGAGTTGGTGGTTATTGAAGTACATCCTTTGAATATAATAACACAACTGTTACCAGCATTTGAGCAACACAAATTTGGAAAGAAATAAGTATTGTATTAAGATTTTTTATTAAATATTTTTAATAAATTATTGTTTTAATTTTTAAATTTTTGTAATATATATACTCTTATATACCAGAACCCTGAATGTTCAAGTTTAACTCTTGTGGGAAATTACAGTTGAAAGTTTTAATTGAAATAAACTAGAAGCTTAACCCAGCAGTTATGAACATTTTTCTCACAGTGTGAATTAGAGGATTTTAGGAAAATAAAAGCTTGTTCTTAAAGTTCTGTTTTATCAATGGTTGGATGTCAACATGGCAATTTTTACTTTATTTATGTCAACTCTTAAAAGTTGGATGGAGCTAAATAAACAAGTCTCTCACATTCCACAACCAAGAGGCTTCCTCTATCTCCTTTGCCTTCCATAATCAGCTGTAGCAGTCTGTAAGTTGATCCTCTCAAGCTATGTCCAAAATATTCAAGTTTTTGCTTTTTAATAGTTTTAACAACTTTGTCCACTATATATGCAGCATTCAAATGCCTCTAACTTTTTTCACTAATTGTTTCAGTGTTCATGCTGTAGAGTAGCATTATAAATACTAGGTCCATCATTAGATTTTTTCCCATAATACTTTCTACATATCAGAAGGGTTTCAATCAGGCCATGGAACAAATGACCATCTGCAGTATCTTAAAACTCAAGTTGAAAAGTATTGAATATAATAGACCCATGTATCTTATTTTTGTTGATTTCCACAAAGCATTTGACAGATTGGAAAGAGTTGTTGTTTTAAAAAGACTATTAGAATGCAGAATAGACCACAGGTATGCAGATATTATTTGACATATTTATGAAAATGCAACCAACTATAAACCTTCATTGCCTGACCTAGAAGATAAAAATTAGCAGAGGGTGTGGCAGGGAGATTCTTTGTAAAAAACTATTTATAACAGCCGTTTTGAATTTAATTGATTAGAGTACTACTCAAATGGTATTAACATCAATGGAAATCATTGTTCTTATAACAGATGAGTTAGGAAAAGCCAGAGTTATGCTACAACAACCACAGCAAGTAACTAGCGTCAGTTTAAAGATTAACTATGGGACAATAAAAATGATGACATTGCACTAATACTATAAATCGAGAATGCTTAGGTTGTGTAAAGATGTGTATTTAAGCCATGAATAAGATTAACACGAGATTACCAGACATGTGAGCTACTCAGAAGAGTAAGTTAGATTGGGCTGTGTTCAGAGAAATGAGTGACATATTTATAACAAATGTTCCAATCCATTTATAAAAAAAAGGATAAATTTCTGCCAGTCCTGACATAGAGACCAGAAACCTTATGTGAGACCACAGGAAGACCATACAATGTGGTGGACCAATGACTTCAAAATAATTGTGAGCAACTAGATGGTGGAGGCACAGAACAGAAATAGATAGAAAAACCTAGAAGCTTATGTTCAACAATGGAAAAAATCAGGACTGATTGATAATAAAAACTTTCTTCACATTTACAAATTTGACTCTAGAAATTTCAATATCTTTTGTTTTAATGATTGGATCTACATTATGAGATAACAAAATTCCCAAATACTTGTACCTGTTTACTGCTGATGCTATGTAATATTTTGTTGTCTCATAGATGTTTTGTGATAACCTTGAATTTTGTCTTCCTTGGGTTCATTCTGATGTCATATTTGTGAAAACTTTCATTCAATCATAATATATCTACCAATGTCTGTAAAGTCCAAGTGAATATTGACTGTGTCATCTATATACCTCAGCTTGTTGTATTCTGGATGTCACATGACATAATACTCAAATTTTCTCATTTTTACAATCTTTACTACTTTGGGTTAGTTTTAGATGTAATAGCTGATGTAAAAGTAAAACATATACTGTGGAAAGCTTATACAAGATACAAGAAGACACAAAGCGAAACAATGAATACTAAAACACCTCGAGGAAAACCCAGAGGAAGAACATATACTGAAAGATCACCAGGAGAAGACGAAAATATGGCGAAAATTACCAAGACCACAAATAATACTGGCACAAAGCCAAAAAACTGGGATCATATGTAAAAGTCCACAAGGAAAACAATTCCTGTAGCTGGCTGTATACCACATATCACAAAAAAGAGGTTAGTCTTCGTAAATGGGTATATTTATTTAAGCAAATAAATATACCCATTTACAAAGACTAACCTCCTTTTTTTTATATGTAAAAGTAGCATACAGTAAGTATGCTGCTATATGCTAAAAACTACTAGTATTACTAAAACATCTTGGCAAACATGTCTATGGAATGTAAAGAGACTTTAAAGAAAACGATGACGAAACTAGCACAGAAAAAGAACAATGATTCAAGCATAAGAAAAGTAGTTAGAAAAAGAAAAAAACAAGAAGAAAAATAGAGTAAAAGTATGAACCTGGAACATTCAAATATTGAGACCAGGTAAAATGCAAGAGGTAGCCAGAGAAATGCAAAGATACAGAATAGACATACTAGCCCTTCAAGAAGTATGATGGAAAGGAGAAGGAAATATCAAAAAGAAAAACTACACAATATACTACTCAGGAGAAAACAAGCAAGGGAAAAACGGTACAGCATTCATGGTTAACAATTTACAAGATTAGGGACAAAGTTATAGTCATATATAAAAATAGAAAACAAACAAACCAATATGTCAATCATAAACATGTGCACCCACAGAAAATGCACCAGAAAATGATAAAATTGAATTATATGAGCAACTGGAAGAATTATATTAAAGGTTACCCAGAAATGATATAGTACTAATGGTTGGTGACTTCAATACAAAAGTAGGCAAAGAAAACCAGTATAAGGAAGTAGCAGGGAAAGAAACTATTCATGACAAGACATTGAAAATGGAAGAAAATTATGCCAACTAGCAGCAATTACAAACAGTTACATTATAAGCACAAACTTCATGCACAGAAGAGAACATAAAGTAACATGGTTGACACCTGGCACAACAGATGGCAGTCAGATAGATCACATACTAATATCCAAAAAATGGAAAGCAATAATGCACAATGTCAGATCATATAGAGCAGCAAATGCAGACACAGACCATTTTCTAGTAATAGGAGAAAGAAGATGGAATCTGGAGAAGTTAAAGTAGAACAATATGAGACAACCCTAAAGGAAAATCTAACACAAGCAAATAACACAGAGGACATATGGAAAAATATAAAAGAATCCATTTTGAATTCAGTGAAGAGCTGCTAGGACAGAGGGAAATAAAAAGAAGGAAAGAGTGGTTTGGCAGAATGCGAAATCAAAATCAAACAGAAAAACGAAGCAAGAGATAAATGGATATCAACTAAAGAAGAACATCATCAAAACTAATATAAAGAAAAAAAGAAAGCAGAGGATAATTGTTGCAAGAACAAAAAAAACTGGGTGAAAGAGCTGTTAAAGGGCCTAGAAAAGAATAGTAAAGACAGTGTCAACCTATTTGGATACCTAAAGGCTGAACAAAGAAAAGGCAGACCAGTAGTTAAAATTGACAATAGATTATGGGAAACACACTTCACAGAACTATATAGATGCAAAGAAAGACCGGAATAGGAAGTAGGCGCAATGAAAGACATTAGAGATAATGAAATAGGGATACCAACATACGATGAATATTTAGACATCATTCAAAAAATGAAACAGAAAAAAACACCTGGCCCATATGAAATTCCCAATGAGCTAATTAAAAATGTAGGGGAAAAGTTATTAACAAGCATCTATATCCAAATAGTTAGAATATGGGAAGCAGAAGAAATGCCCGAGAATTGGAAAAAAGGCAGAATTATACCAGTATTTAAGAAAGGAGAGGTAACAAACTAACAACTATAGAGCAATATCTCTACTGAGCACAGCATATAAAATTCTAACAGCCCTCATCAATTAAAAACTCACTCAATTCACAGAAAAAAAATTGAGGACTACCAATTGGTAATCAATATGACTAATGAGGGTATTTTTTACTGCCTACTTTACATTTTTTTCTTTATCCTGAAGTTTTTAGACCAGAAATATATTTCTCAGATAATACTTTTTTTCTTTACCAAAAAGTTTTTAAATGAGAAATGCATTTCTCAAATAATAAATTTTGTTTGGGTGAAGTTGCTTTTAAAAGTTCTACTTATGTTTATTTTGAAAAAACATGTTCTAATCCCAGCATAGAGTTCATTATCACATAAAATCTTGATTTTAGACTCTGTGTTACTGATTTGAAATTTGGAGTGAAAGCCAAAACAAGATTAATGAGGTGTTCACCACAAAGTTAGCAAGGTGTTGAGGTACTCAACTCAAGATCAACATTTTATTTGGATTGAATGCTCACAGTGCCTAGAGGTATAACCTTCTGCACCTCATAATACAGAGCAATATCTCTGGATGGTGAGGCCCAGGCTGAAGAACATCCTGGCTCCAAAATATTTGAGAGTAGTATCAAGATTCAATAATTGGCCAAGGTATTGAAAAAAGAAGATGAAAAATACCTTTGTTTATGAGACAGTCCTATAGACATCAGGTACTGGTGCATTTGGGTATAACAAAATACTTAAATGTTTTAACACACAATATAGGTTATTCTGGAGTCTACTGATCAGTAGATACAACTTCCTATTTTTTTATACTTCCTAGATTACTTATGAAGAAAATAAAATGGTTAATTATTTCTGTTATAATGAAATGATATAATATGATAGATTTAAAAGATAAATGAAAGGACTTTAATTAATTGAGAAGCAGCAACAATCCTGGCTTTATGACATACTATATAATGTTGATTTTCTTATATGTCATACACAATGTTCAATACACAATTTTACCTCCTGGTTTAGTGGTTCTGTCTAATGTTTTTGTTTGTGCATTATTTAATAAAAAAAAAACACTTTTATAACATATTTTTTATACTTAATATTTATAAACTATCACAAAATTATATCATTCCCTAAATTCCCATATTTTAATTTCTCCATCATCACTACAAGAAGCTAATAATCCAGGCACTACAGGATTCCAAGTTACACAATTAACATCTTGATTATGTGCGTTATCAACTACACAAACTAAATTAAAATTGGGACTATTAGGATCACATCCTTCATCTTCTTTGAAAATTCTAATTGCATCATCTCCAGATGCTGTAACTATAAAACCTGTTAAATGGCACCAATGTATATCATATATTGTTCTCTCGTGATGTCCTGACAATGTACAAACACACTTCCATGTGGAATCCCCATCCTGTGTAGGAATTCCTTCTGGATTACCTGGTGGGTATTCCTTCCATATTTTAACAGTATTATCATCACTGCAGGAGGCTAATCTAGAACCAGTTTTATCAAAACTTATACTCCAAACTGTTGATTCATGACCTGTTAAGGTTCCACAGCAGACCCAATCACCATCATTAGGATCATCTCGGAAGAGCTTGATTGTATCGTCATAAGATGCTGATGCTAGTAGATCTTTTTCAGGATGAAAAATTACCTAAAAGTACAACAGATACAGCATTGTGAATTAAGAGGTGTATTATAAACTAAAAATAACAATAAAAATTATCAAATCAACCTTGTCACCAATATACTGATAACATGTAAATTCTAATAAATCCATAAATAAAATGTCAATATCTAGTATTGAGATATGGCAGTAAAAAAACTGGGTTTGTAGGTACAGGGATACCTCTTTGCTCTCCAAAGTCTGTTAAACAGCTAAACATAATACTTAAATTTACTACCACTAGATAATATATGTAAGCATACAAAATGTTCACATAAGATGTCCCAAAGTAAGCAGCATCACAAGACAGGATTAAGAGTGAATACAGGATAAAATAATTATCTAGCTGGGCTCAAAACTAATGTGACTACATGTCTTGTCCAGTAATTTTATTAACAGTAACAATAATGCTAAGAATAATTCTAAAATATGAGATATTCAGCAATTTGATAATAACAACACTTTACAAGTGTGTAATAATGTATTTGAAATTCTAGAATAATAGCCATAGAGCAAGATTGATTATTATGGAAGTGATCAATAAATAAGTCTTAATACCAATATTTAGTAATATAATAATTTGGATCAAACTCTCAAAACTATCATTTTTATTCCTGAATGAACCAATTATTTACCTTCTTAACATCTTGGGAATGGGCATTTAATACAGCAGCACAGTCATATTCATCTTCATCTGCTACTTCCCAAACCCAGACAGATTTGTCTCTGCTGCATGTAGCTAATAAATGTCCCGATTTCGACCAAGCTATACTTTTAACTTCATTCTCATGTCCTTCTAATGTTGCATTACATTCAAATTCACCACTTTTCTTATCCCATATACAGGTTGTTGCATCAAAACTTCCAGAGGCTAAGTAATTGCCGCAAGGTGACCAAGAGACCTGCCTTATTGTACGTTTGTGGCCATCTGTTAGGACTACTCTATTGGACCACTTACCAGTCAAATCTTTGGTCCATATTCTGATGGATTTTTCTTCACCACAGGAGGCTAGGCTATCTCCTTTAGGATGCCAGTCGAGATTCCACACTCTACCGTTATCTTTTTTGAGAGTTTGTACTAATTCTAATTTACCCATAACTGATTCTAATTTGTTCTTATTTCCATATAAAACATATTTTAGGTTATATCAGGTTAATTAGGTTATTTCAAACATGACAAATGACAATGATGATGATAAATCTCATGACATGACAATTATTTTTCTGTTCACGATTCATCCATATCGATGGTTGACATACTAGATGTACGCAACCAATTATACTCTAAATGCTAAATATTGTATCTATGCATCCTGAATACTATATTTTGTTGTTCTACTGTGTTCCCTAGGCTTGGTCGTGTACGGAGAATATTCATATTTTTAAATCTGAGTATTTAAATGACTCTCACGGAGGTGATATATAGTCATATAGAAATGATTCCAGAGTTTAATGATAATCATGAATTACGTCTTAGATTTTTAGAAATTTTGCGAAAAATTCATAAATCAATTTTATAATACTACGGATGCAGAGACGTAGAAGAGGCCCCTGCTGCATGCAGCTTGCTTGTGGCCCCTAATATATTAGAGGCCCCATCTTGTCGTCTAATATATGTAAAAATGTGTTATTGTTTTACTATTTTACGCATACATAGGCAAAGTTTTTGGACAGGATATACCAGGAACCCGATATCGTAAAATATATTAAGATAGGACGTGTGAGGTGGATAGGGCATTATCAAGCTTCCTTGATAGCATCGATGAAGACATGAGAAGTATGGAAATACGTGCTTGGTGGAGGAAGGCGATGGATAGGGACGACTATAGATAACTTCCGAGGAGTTAAGACCCACACATGGTTGTAAAGCCAGAATGATGATGATGATGTTGATGACGAAACGCTTTTTAAACAGTGTATGGAAATCTTCAAAAACTTCCCTCGATCTAGCAAAAACGCGACCCGTTCTAGTAAAAGTAAGTATACGGCAGTAGTTTTATTAGATTAGAATCCCTTACATTGTTTGGTTGTTTGCATTTTGTGTTACTTGTATTGTTTTAAGGTTACTTCCCAACTGTACAAAAATGCGTCTTTTTTTTTCTGGTCTCCTCCAAAATTTAATTGCCTTTTCCATGCAGTCTACTGTGGGTCCTTCTTCTGAAATCTTGATGATTTACCAGGATATTGGTTGGCATTAAACGTTACCAACACAAAATTGCCTATGTTTTAATTCGCAGGACTTGGTCTCTAAATCTCAGGGTTTTTAATAACCTCATTATTCTCGTCTTCAAGCAAATCAGGAAATGATTCGCTGATATTATCAGATTCTAAATCATTCTCATTTAAGGAGCTCTCAGAAGAGCTTGAAGACAAATCTTGTTTTGGTTTAGCAGATATTTGTTTTAAAGATTTAGGCATGGGATCTGTGCTTATCAGGTCACTGGAACATATGCTTTTCCCAGAAGAAATTTTTTTTCTTTGCTTGGTCATATTCTCAGTTCCCAAATATTCTGTACGTTTTGCCTCTATCTGTTCTAAGAAAGCTGAATGCCATCATATTTTTATTCATTTCAATCAAATTTTTTGGTAGGCAATCAAGTAACATTTGCTTATTTAAAGGATAAATCATACATTTTTTAGAATCAGAAATTAGATTTTGGCTTCTATCTATTTCTAGATTTCGAATTAGTTCTTTAGCTAAGGACGGAAAGAAATCTTTGAGAATTAATGAATATCTGGAACCAGCATTTGACTCTTTCCACTTGGTTAAAATATTTCGCCAAGTTCTTTTTACCGGATCAAAAAATGCCACCCCCAATAGTTGGGTGACATTGGTTGTGTTTGGCGATAAACATACGAATATTATATTATTCTGCTCACACAGTTGAAGAACCCTGGCGCTGATATGCGACGAGAGGTTGTCACCTATTAAAATAACAGGTCCATGTTCGTTTTTCACTTCCGGGAGAAAACGGCATTCAAACTAATCTTTAAATGTAGTTCCGTCAAACCACTCATTCTTAGAACGGTTGTAGCGACGCTTTTGGGGCCTTTCTCTGCCCAAGTAGTCCAAAGATGCTCGGCCTTGTATACAACAGAAGGAGCAAGGTATTTTCCTTCTGCATTGCCACAAAACATAACAGAAGTATCACTTTTACTAAAATTGCATATTTTTTCAACATACTTAGCTCCTTCTTTTACAAATGACTTTTTTGTTCTCTGGGTCATCACTTAGGTTGGTCTCATCGTAATTCCATATTCGAGAGGGTGGAATGTTTTCTATAGCGATTCCTAAGTTTTCCATATAGTCATTCAATTCAGCTTCAGAAACTTCTGCTCGAACTCTCTTGACATTGGAACTAATTCGTAGGGCTAAGTTTCTATGACGCATCATGAAAGGTTTTGTGCACCCATAACCAGGCAGATTAGCTTTGCACAGTAAAATACGGGATCCTTTTTTGTCTAAGTAAGGTTTAGCAGACATCCGAAAGTCCATTGCAACTGGTTTGCAATTGGTTCCATTGCAACCATGTTTCAAAAGCAGCTTCTTGCGCATCCGAAAAAACTCGAGATTGGCCAATATTTTTTGAGTGTTTGCCATTTAATTTATTTTTGATTGTAGACCTAATAATCCCATAAGTTGCGGTAGCAATTCGTTAAGACATCCGACCTGATCTAATTTCTTGTAAGAATTCTTCCAATTTTTCAGACGTATAATTTGCATAGAGTCTTGACCCAACGCGTTTTTTTTTGGTGATGAGGATTATTAACCACCCTGAAAAAAATATGAACGTAAAATATTTGTTAGTACTTGTTGGGGTAACATTGGCCCTGGCCAATGTTGCCCCCAAATAAGGGCCAAAGTTACTCTAAATCATATTCTGTCGCCCAACAACAAAAACAAAAAAGAGTAAATAATATAACTAAAAAATATGTTACGCTCTATTTCGTAGTCAACTATAACGCTAATAAACTTACCGAGTTGGTAGAACTTTTCTAACAATTGGTGCCGATCAAAGTTCCTTACTTTTAATGGAAGTGCAGAAATGATCTCTATCGAATGAATTTTACACCATAGAGTTTTTTTTTTTTTCGTGGAATTTATGGCTTTGGCGAGAACCAATTAGCCAGACTTTTTCCTCGCTAGGGCGTCAACCCGGTTCATCCCCTCGGAGGTTTCAGCCCTATATAATTTTTTTTTTTTTTTTATTAATGTGTTACATTTAGTTTCTTTCGCAGAATTGCTTACAAAATTGGTTAGTAATTTTACAGTTTTAGTTTACAGTTAATGATGTGTTGATGAAGTACATAAAGGATATCATTATTTCCTGAAAAAAAGAATACAATTTAGGTCTATTGGAAGGTTTATCTTGTAGCAAATTAAGTTTTTATATAGTTTATTAATGTTTACATTATTTATTGGACATTCAAGTAAAACATGTACTAATGTACCCATTTTACCACAACTACAACATGGATCGTCTGTAATTTTCATTTTGTGCTTATAATAGGGTGTTAGTGCATGATTAGCACGTACTCGATTTATTGTGGCGACAAAGTTTCGGTTTGGTATTTTGTGAAACCATGGTTTTCTGGGAATTTTTTGCTGGTGTTTACAAAAGTTTGTTCCGGTTGTTGAAGCGTTGTATAGGTTTTGCCACATCTCATTTATTTTGTTTCTTTGGTTTAAGAATAAGTCGGACGGGGGTAGTTTAAGATTTAGTTCTTCTCTAATGTTGGGGCTGTTTTTGCTAAGGCATCTACTATTTCATTACCTGTTATACCTGCGTGTCCCTTTACCCATAGATATATGACGACTTTATTCTTGATGTGTATCTCATTATGTAAATAAAGGATATTTGCTTCAATATGATTAACTGATCTATTTATGTTTACTTTTTTAACATTATCTACTGCACTTTTGCTGTCAGTACATATTATGAATTTGTCGTGGTTAAAGCCGAGTATGTATTTCATAGCTTGCACTATTGCTGTTAATTCTGCAGTGTATATGGAAGCTTCCTTTGGTAGAATAAATTGTTTGTCAGTATTTTCTTCCAAATGGTAAAAGGCACAGCTGGTATATTCTTTTGACTTTGATCCATCAGTGAATATAGAATCATAGTTTGGCCAGTATTTGTTTTTTGTTTTGGTAAACTTTGTTTGATTTATACTTCCTACTTCTTCACTTTCAAAATAGTAGGTTCTAATTTCACGTGAAAAAATTTGTTCAGGCGAGTAACTTAGAACCGGGGGGAGTTGGTTGGAATAAAGTATATCTGTAATGCCAGGTATTTCTGTGAAAGTTTCTACTATGAGGGGGGTTTTCTTGAAGTGCCAGTATCTATGGGTCAAAACTTGAACTGTTAGTGATTGTATACTATTGAGGTAAGAAGTTTTTTTGGAAACGGTTTTTATCATAAATTTTCTGCTCAATAGTTGTCTTCTTAGTTTAAGGGAAGGTTCCACGGCTTCAGCTTGTATTATATTTATGGGTGTTGACTTAAGATATCCCAGGCAAACTCTTAAGCATTTACTAACTACCAAGATGGGCATTTGGTAGTTAGTATTCGCCTCTGGTTGCGTTGAGTAACTGAGTTACCGTTGCTAACTACCCATCTTCCTGTCTTCTTTTTCTTTGTTCTCCTGAAGAAGCTACATACAATTGTAGCGAAACGTCGAGATGAACCCACTTTTGGGTCACTCACAAATGACACGGTCCAAACCCGGAAGACGAATAAACTATAATATTATTAAATTGTTTATTTTCCAACTTTTGATTTAATCTATTTCTGTATTATTCTCTCACGCTTTCTTGTTCTAAGCTGATTAGGTTATACCTCTTCTGGATTACTTTCTCCCTTTCATTCCCTTCTTTGATCTTAACTAATATATATATATATAATATATATATATATATATATATATATATATATAATATATATATATATATATATGATGATCGCTTCCACAGGTAGCTTGTGTTAATACTCTTATATCTTGTACAATCATATTTGTCTTTTGTCGTATGATTGTGTAGTCTATGATTGATTTTAACCCTCTCGTATTTTGCGTCCATGTGTATTTGTGTATGTCTCGGTGTTGAAACAATTCATTTACAATTTTCATTTTATTTTATTCGCATAATGATATTGGTCTGGTACCATTATCATTTCCGTGGTCCTCTCCTGAATTTACCTATAACTGCGTTATGGGGCTTTTTCCAGTTATGCTGTTTGAGTCTCCCAAGATGATAATTTCTTGAGATGTGCCGACTTTTACAACCTTAAATTCAATTTCTCAAAAAAATCGTTTAAATGTTTACTGGTGCGTCATCATTTACTGCATATATACCCAAGACTGTGCATTTGTATCTAATCGTAAGTTTCGTGCATCAAATAAAAACACAAATAAATGGAGACTATTTTATTTATATTTTCTCATGTACATAATACAAAATATAATTACAAAAATATGTATATATTTCGATCTATGAAATAAATGCTTTTGTAAATATAAAGTTTCAATGTGCAGCAATAACGAAGACATTTTTATTCACGATTTGATATTTACAATTTACTATGGAATTGCGATAAATTCGAATGTTCGTAAGCAATTTCTTGCCACCAAGATGGTCTGGATAGTGATTGTGGATTACCCATTAACAGTTTTTGGAGATTTTGGTATAACTAAAAACAGAGAAGATTTTTAAATATAAAAAAGTGCTTGATAAGTAAAGTTAAAATATAGTGTATATATTATGGTACGCTAAATTCCCGTTTATTATATATATTTACATCTATCATAAGGAAGAATAAGTCTGTGAGGCAGTTCCTCTTTGAAAGATAAAATTTGTCACTGACTTTCATAGTCATACTGCACTTCTATTTTTTTAATTAATAAGGGATATTATTTATGCGTAACAACCTAACAATATTTACTTACTTTTCCGTCAGATGTGGCTAAAACAGAATGCACTACATAATCTGGTGGAGCAAGTCCATCAATAACAGTCAAAGCATCAGGTTTTAAGTGCTTGCATAGATCTAATATCGCCTCTTTTATGTTCTGAGAAAATTCAGATCCTCTTGTATATTCGCCTTGATAAAAGTAAACTAGATTTTTGTCTAAACATGATAGACCATATAAAAGTCCAAGGTTATGTAACACAGCCTGCAAACTCTTGTCTGCCTTGGAAACTTTTTCCCAAAAATAGCTGAGAGCTGTATATTCACCGTAAGCTTTAGAAAGCAACGCTGCTTTGTAAACTTGCGATTCGTTACGTGCTGTGAATTTGTCCAGACCTCTACGAAGAATTTCCTCTTGTTTCTTGTGAGTTTCATTAACTAGGTATATGATAAGCCATTGATAAGAAGTCATTACAACTGAAAACAAAAATAAAATCAATAAATTACAATGCTTGTTAAAGAATGCACATTTTATATTCAATGATTAAAAATTATGATCCCTCGTCCGATACGAACATTATGTGTCACTTTCACTTCCCCTAGGAGAATGCCACCGAGTAACAACTAGATTACATCTGTGGTATGTGCTGATAGATGGGTTAAATCATATGAACCAGTAAGGTTACTAGCTGTTACTATGGATACATTGGATACGTTGGTCGAACAACATTGAACGATTATGTAAGAAACTCTCCTCACAGATTTTTACCATGCGCAGGTTGGCTACTTTTATGAGGCGAGATATTCTTAAGTCAGTTTATATTGGAATGGTTCATATACTAGAGTACCACAATTAGAGCGAGTGACTCATATTTTCAATGTAGACCTTTGCGGGTCTGGGGGAAGGAAATCGACGAGTCATAGGCGTGCGGTTATTATTAAAAAATAATCAGGATTTTAGAATTAATTAATTGTCATAAAAATTATATTTTCTTATATCATAGATGTCTCAGGACCCTGTTATACGTCGCGTTACCAGCGCCGGGTGAACGTTGACCCAACGGGAAAATAGCACACTATGGAGTAAATTATACGAACGACATTGCCATATACACAAATTTTTGTGAAAATACTACATAATATCCACACATTCAAAAACATTTCCGATCATGGTTTTTCTTCATCAAATTTTATTTTTGATATTTGTCATCAAATTGAACTAAACTAAATTACTCATAATTCACAAAAGTAAACGTAAAAGCACCTTTCAGTAATAACACTACAAATAATTCTCTTCTTTGCTTTATGAAACTCCTGTCAGTGCGCTTATGAAACTGATTTACAGATAGCATACAATAAAAGAACTACCCAAACCATGGCGTTTTTGCCTTATGCATCACCATTACATCACCTTAATCTGCGACAAGATTCTTGATCTCGAACATTATCTACCGTTAGAGAAAGATATAAACTACAATATTGCAAATAACTTCAAGTTGAATCATACACGCTGACAACGTTACCATTTTCCCTAGAACCCAAATCTTTGTCAAAACATTTGAACAGTTTAAAAAATACACTAGTCAAATTACTGAAATGTACTTCATATAATTCGCATTATTTATATTCATATAAATAAGAATGCGCATTGAAAAAGCCAGAGCCGCCTTCTATAAATTAAAAAAAAATTCTAATTAATGGAGATATTACTTTAAACCTTAAAATCAGATTAATACGCTGCTACATATTCTCCAGATTGCTGCATGGTATGGAGAGCTGGACTCTTACAGAGATGAAAAAATTAGAGGCCTTTGAGATTGAGAATAAAATAAGTTTTACATCGAATGAAAAAGAGCACAGAAATATCAAAAACGATAGAAATTCGAAAGTTACAATATTTCGGTCATGTAATGAGACATCCAGAGAGGTATAACCTTCTACACCTCATAATACAGGGTAAGATTGCCGGAAGAAGAGGCCCAGGCCGACGAAGAACATCCTGGCTCCGAAATCTGCGAGAATGGTATCAAGAGACCACCGCTAATTTATTTAGAGCACCCGTATACAAAGTTATTATTGCCAATATGATCGCCAACGTTCAATGATCGGACAGGGTACTGAAAGAAGAAGAAGAATGCATATAAAATGAGTTCACTTCTATCTGAACTATATTTGAACAGTTAAATGTTACTGGCCTATAAAAAAACATTAAAACATGAGTAACTCCCTACAATTGTGGTACTTTACTGTAGTATACTGAAATATTGCATAATCCTTTGGTTAAACTTGTCGTATGCATACAAGGCTTTTACTCTATAAAAACCAGCAATTTGAATGATTGATTCAGCAGAATATCACGCCAGCTTCAAACCCTTGTTTAAAAAGTTTAAAAACCTTTTATATTTGAAAGTTTGTCAACTATTCATAATAATATTATGCAAGAACTAAAAATATATGCTCATCAACATCAGTATACTATAAGGAACAAAAGTCATATCATTATACCATATTCCAGATTGTGTGTTACACAGCTTAGTACAATAAACTATAATCTGTACAATTGTTTTTTAAACCTGAACAAAAATATTGATAAAAGCAATGAATTGTAAACAATTTTATAAATTAACGAAACACTCCTTGGAGAAAGACTGTTTCTATAGTATCCAGGAATTGAGAATTTGAAACTCAACATTTCGGCCCCATTTTGGAGCCATTATCGAGAGGGATAACACAACCGTGTTTGAGTTCGTGGTCTCAATCTGCCTGCTCCCCTCACTCCTAACGTACCAGTATCGTGTTCTCTATAAATACAGGAACCGTCAAACGGCACTGAGGACTTCATCTGCCTACTACTCAGTATCGAGTGACGACCGGTCTTACCATGTGTAGCTGCTTTTATAGCCTAAGTATGCGCGGGATGGATTGGGGCGGAGGGTCGCTAAAGGCGATCGCCATATTGCCGGTAGTCGTTTAGCGTCATCGCGCGTGTTTACGCTGTTAGGCTGTTTTTCAATTTCGATTGATTCTCAATTTCGGTTGAATAATTCTCGATTTTAAGGAGCGGATGAGAGCGATGACTTTTGTTTTTTCGAAATCTATTTTGTAGACTGTCTGAATACAAGTATGATATTGGGCTAGGACTAAAGTAGTATCGGAATGTTTGACAGATATAGAAAGTTCGTAAATACGGTTATGGATGCGTCGGTATGTGTTTAGACATAAATTTTATTTTGTTAAGCTTAGGTACTTGTGTAGTAAAAGACAAGGCAAGCCTGTCATGATTGATGTAACGGCTGTCAAATGATAATTTCGCTCTCTTGTCATGCAGCAATAAATAGGTAAACACGTCTCCCTAATTAATTAAAGTTTTTTATATTTGTAATAATAAATGGTACAAGCAGGAATATGGTAAATCATCAATGATTAGCCAGAAGTTCATACATATTTAGTTTTTGGTCCAATTCGAGCGGATGGAATGAATATCTGAAGTAAAAACAGCGAAAATTGTCAAATAAAAATAAAAGGTTAAACACGACATTCAGTGCCAGCCCAGCCGATGTCAGTTTGAAAGGTTTATAAGGTTTATATATTATATATTTATAACGTTACGACATTCAGTGCAGAAGCCGATGTCAATTTGAAAAGGTTAAGGTTACGACATTCAGTGCCAAGGAAGCCAATGTTGATTTGAGGTTATAAAACCATATAAGGTAAGTGACTTTGGTTCATTGTATTTTTCATCTGTGCAACAATGGCTGAGCAAGAGTTAAAGAGTTTAAAATCAAAAAGGGGAGTAGTTAAAGGGAAACTTACAAGGTTTAAGAATTATTTTGATAATATTGATAAGGATTATGTGTCTAAAAAGTTAATCACAGAACTAGAGTTAAGGTTAAGCAAGATTTCACCCTTGTATGAAGATTTTCATGAGATTCAAGAAAAAATTGATGAAATAGAGCAGAGTAATGATGATATAAATGAAATTAACACTTTTGAGACTTCCTATTTCGAACTTGTTAGTGATATGCAAACACTTTGCGATAATTTTAAAATAGAAAATAATACTGAGAATGCATCAGTTCATAGTGATTCAAATCAAGGGATTAATAGTAATAGTTTTCAGGCCTTGGTTAAGTTACCACCTATAAAACTGCCTAGTTTTAATGGCCATTATGACTCATGGCTCGAATATAAAGATTGTTTTTTGGCATTGGTTCATAATAATGAATCTTTAACAGATATTCAGAGATTTTATTATTTAAGATCTTCTCTTGAAATGGATCCTCAGCAAATAATAAAATCTATAGAGGTTTCGTCAACAAATTATAAAATAGCTTGGCAGATGTTGACAGAGCGTTATGAGAATAAAAAACTTATTATTCACAACCATTTAAAAGCAATTTTTGATCATCCTAGTATTAATAACGAGTCTTATGTTGAACTAAGAAATTTATTTGATAATGTCACTAAACATTTACGGTCATTAAATAGTTTAGGCTTAGATACAACAAGTTGGGATAGTATAATAATATTTATAATGTGTTCTAAATTTGATGCTACCACCAGAAGGGAATGGGAATGTTTTAAACATGAAAATGATTTACCCAGTATGGGCGATTTAAATAGATTTTTAAAAGAGAAATGTGAAATGTTGGAGATGCTTCAAGTATCTTCCGGTTATACAAATAATAAAGCAAAGGTTCGCAATGTAAGTTCTCGAAGTTTTGCTTCTATTGAAGGATATTCCAATGTCAAATGTTACTTTTGTCAAAAAGATCATCCCATATATAAGTGCGATGTATTTCTAAAATTAAATGTAAATGACAGAATCTCGGCTGCTAAAAGATTAAAGTTGTGTTTAAATTGTTTAAGGAATTCACATCCAACATGGAAATGCAAGCTACAAAAATGTATAAAATGTCAAAAGTTGCATAATTCATTATTGCATTTAAATCATCACATCACAAATAATGTTTCTAGAAATATGGCTACTACTGATTCAATTGATCCGAATCAACATAAAATAGAATCTAATCAAAACATCGAGAACTGTATTGAACGCTCAGACAGCGGTCAGTCAGAAACGGATTTTAACAATGATAACGGATATTTTTTACCGCATCATGCTGTGGTAAAACAGTCTAGTTTGACGACTAAATGTCGAGTAGTCTTTGATGGTTCTGCAAAATCAAGTTCAGGTCTGTCTATAAATGATGTGCAGTATATAGGTCCATCTCTTCAACAAGATATATTTTTAATTCTCCTAAGGTTTCGTCTACACAAGTATGTAATAAGCAGTGATATCTCAAAAATGTATCGTCAAGTTATGGTAGACGAAGATGATTGTCAATTTCAAAAAATTATTTGGCGTGCAGACTCACAGGAGGATTTAAAATGTTATAAGTTAAATACTGTTACATACGGTACCGCATCTGCGCCGTATCTGGCTGTTAAAAGTTTGATACAAGCTGCTGAAGATAATAAGCATGATTATCCATTAGCATCAAATATAATTAAGCGAGACTTCTATATGGACGATTTGCTTAGTTCCTCAGATTCAAAAGAGGAAATAATAAAGATACAAAAAGATGTTTCGAAAATTTTGAGTGATTCGGGGTTTGAGTTACGAAAATGGCTTTGCAATGATCCAAATATAGTTAAAGATTTTAACATTAATAATGATTTAGATGTTGCTGTACTCCATTAGGTGAGCAAAACAAAATGTTAGGGATCTATTGGGATCCACAGAACGATTTTATACGGTATAAAATAAATATTGATTATTCTATTGAACCAGGTCAATGGAATAAACGTAGTATTCTGTCGGTAATTTGTCAGATATACGATCCATTGGGACTATTAGGTCCGATTGTAATAAATGCAAAGCTAATCATGCAAGATTTATGGAAAAGAAAATTTGGATGGGACCAAGAGTTACCGCCAGACTTTATTAAAATTTGGTTAGAATTTTACAGTAACTTAAATTCTTTGAATGCATTAAAAATACCACGTCATGCTAGTATATCAGGTTATATTAATATTGAATTACATGGTTTCAGTGACGCATCTACACGGGCTTATGGTTGTTGTATATATATAAGATGTTTAATGTCATCTGGATCTTACATATGTAATTTGTTATGTGCGAAATCACGGGTTGCACCATTGAAATTGTTAAGTCTTCCTAGATTGGAACTTTGTGCGACAGTTTTACTAGCTAATTTATTGAAAAGGGTTTCGGATTTTATATATATTCCAGTTAATGGTATTTATTGTTGGACTGACTCCACAATTTGTTTGAGTTGGATTAAAGGTGATCCTAGTAAATGGAAACAATTTGTTGCCAATCGAGTGCAAGAGATACAAAATTTGACTAGTATGAATTCCTGGAACCATGTTCGTTCAGAACACAATCCAGCTGATTTGTTGTCACGAGGATTCTCGGCAGACAATTTAAGGAATAATAACTTGTGGTGGTCTGGACCAGAATGGCTTCTTGAAGATAGTAAAGAATGGAATATTTTAAATCCTGAACCGTGCCAGAATGTACCGGAAGCAAAGGTTGTTTCTTGTATTGCTGTAAATAACTTTAATTTGGTTAACTATTTGTTAGAGCGTTTTTCTTCATTGAACAAATTTTTAAGGATTTTAGCATATATTTTACGATTTTCTAATAATTGTAAAGTTGAACTATCGAAGAGAAGGACTGGTATACTGACACCAGAAGAGATTGAAGCAGCTCTAACATTAGCAATCAATTCTGTTCAACAGGAATGTTTTCCCTTAGAATACAAGAATTTAATTAATAATAAAGAAATACCAAATAAAAGTAAAATCATAACATTGAATCCTTTTATTCATGAAAGGTTACTAAAGGTTGGTGGACGTTTAAGAAATAGTAATATTCCGTTTAACAGCAAACACCAAATTATTTTACCAAATAATCATGTTTTAACAAAAAGAATTCTATTAAATGAACATGAACGATTGCTTCATTGTGGTGTTCAACAATTAATTTTTTCATTAAGGCAAAAATATTGGCCTATTTCAGCTCGTAGCTGCTGTAAATATGTAATAAATAAATGTATAGCTTGTTTTAAAACTAAGCCAAAACCTTTAAATTATTTAATGGGTGATTTGCCCCAGAATAGGGTAAATAGTTTTTCAGTTTTTCAAAATGTAGGTACTGACTATGGTGGTCCGTTCCTTATCAAGGATCGAAAAACTAGAGGTGCTAAATTAATCAAGGCTTATATTTGCATTTTTATTTGTATGTGTACTAAGGCTGTACACATTGAGTTAGTGTCAGACCTTACCACTGATGCGTTTTTAGCGAGTTTCAAAAGATTTATTAGTAGAAGAGGAAGACCTTCTAATATTTACTCTGATAATGGTTCAAATTATATAGGCGCAAACAAGGAAATAAATGCTGTTTATGAGTTTTTAGAAAATTCATCTGACTCCATTTCTCAAAGTCTATTACATGAAAAAATAAAATGGCATTTTATACCTGCAAATTCTCCTACGTTTGGGGGTTTATGGGAAGCGGGAATAAAAAGTATCAAGTCTCATTTAAAAAGAGTAATGGGTTGTCGGTCTATGACTTTTGAAGAATTTAGTACATTGTTGCATCAGGTGGAAGGTATATTGAATTCTAGGCCACTTTGTCCTATTTCCGGCGATCCTGATGATAGCACTGCCTTAACGCCAGCACACTTTATAATTGGACGTACTTTAACTATGTTGCCAGAGTGTGATATTTACTCTGGCAAATAAATCGTGTAAACTCATACGAACAACTTTAAATGGATTTTTTATCTTGCATGATCTAACCAGTTGAGTCCAATCATGCAGATGGTTAATTTTCATTTGTGTTTTTTTTTTAGTTTTCTTAATAATCGCGTGATCAGAGTCACATTCCATGTGACTATGACCACTAAGGAGAAATTTGTGATTAATAATTTCCAAAGTTGGGTGCTTATCTAATAAAAATGTAAACATCATTTCCACGATGTAATTTTTATTCTGCCCACCGCAAGTATCTAAAAAGAATGTAATTTCTTTGACGACTTGTGGAAGATAATTTAAGCAAAAGTGCCACAGACAGGATGCGATTTGATTTGCACCACGTGCCCCAATTGTCTCATCCCACATGTAAGTCGTGAACCGTTAAATTAAAGGTCCAAAGCTGCCTCTTGTAAAAGGCAATTGAGGTTTGTAAAAGTGGGTGTGGGTACAACTGTTGAAGGTCAAACGCATAAGCCCGAAACGAGGAACCTTCTTGAGCTCTTGCTTTACTGGCGCGTTTTGCAGAATAAGCCTTTTCAGCCTGCAAATGATGCTCAGCTAATTGAATTTTTAAATCTCCAATTTCCTCAGCTAACTTCATTTTCATCGTTATAATATCACACGTGTGACACGTGTCTTTTGATGTTTTTTTAAAGACAGTTGGGAAAACAATTTGAGTACAGTTTTAAAGAAAACGACTGTAAGCAAGTTTCTTTATATAACCTATATTTTTTATTTGTGGATTTTCTACAGTAATGGCTTTCGTAGCTAGGAAAAGATAGAATGTGATTTTTGACTGAAGGTATATCGTCTATACTTTTTTTATTGGCAGGAGGGCCTACACCCCTTTGATCGGATTCTATTATTCCTTTAGTCCTATTAATCCTTTAGTCTCCCTTAATATTCTACAGAAAACATTCTTTGCAGGTTCGCAAAATTGTAGCTGGTTCGCCATCGTAATAGAGGTAACTGATGTTATCAACATTAACATGTGTGATTAACTGAACAGCAACAGAAAACCGTTTAAACTGTATGTACATCACGGGACCCATGCATCTAATCGTAGCATCCTGATATTGAAGGCTGGAAATGTACATATCGTGCATCTCATTTTATCAACTTCAGATCATATTGTACCCAAAATGACAAGTCAAGATATCAAAATACATAATAGTCCGAAAAGAGACGTCAAGTTTCACATAACTAGTTATACATTTATTATTACAGAAAGAGGAGCGGGAATAACTGGATATGTCGAGGTATCACATTAGATATAGTGGCATTCTAACAACTGTAACATCACAAAATGAGTTATAAAAATACGTAAAGGAATCTAAAGTAAAGATTAAGTCAACAACTCGACTGGTCAAATTTAAATTTTGTTTTATCAATTTGATATCTATAGATATTAGATATATTGCAGCTTTCAAAGAGTTGTCAGTATATTCACAATGAGTTTAATCGTTATTAATGTGATTTCTTAAGATATTTACTTATTCACCGCATAAAGTCATTAATAAACAATCTGTTGTAATAAATATCAGAAAAATGCAATATTTGGACTTGTCAAGTTATTCACGCCAGCCACGGATATATAGCTTACAAAAAAAGAGTTAAGAGTTCTTGTAATATTATTTCTTTACATTGAAACTTAATTTCCAGTTAAATACTTACATTCTTTGGTTTGTACTTCAGATATACTCCTAGCAATACATTTTGTACTCATAATTTTTTTATGATCAAGGAAAAATTTACAACTTTCTAGAGGTGTAGACAATCTATCACCAGAGAGAATCGCCTGCCATTGTCTCAACAACCAATTGCTGGTTTGTTGCACTAGTACATTGTTGTCTCCCTCGTAAGTTACACATGGGTCTATGATACTTTTTAATTCTCCTAAGCGCGAAGCTTTTAAGAAACCATGTCCTCCGCAGGCTTCTCTACATTCTTGCGTTGCATCCCGACAAGTCCACGTCATTAATGGTTTTGCGCTTGATACGAGAGCATGAATTTCAGATACCATTTCACTCTAAAAAATGAAAAGCAAAGTAAATCAAACAAAGAATAAAATTTTCTGTACAGTGTGCTGACCAGTCGTTACCTAACATGTCTGAACTATAATTTGAATATTTCAATGAGGCTATTATTGTTTATGGGGTAAATTTAATATCGGAGACACAGTGACTTTTTTCCATTATACAACTAAACAAATAGCTGTTGTGAAACAAAAAATACTCATTGAATCATCTAAATAATTCACATGTGTTTGTCACTTTGTCATTACATGTATAATTAGACCTTGATGGCCGACCTGAAGGTACTCCGCTATATGATTTCTGTTCGCTTCACGTGATCCCATCACTGTCACAATTTTTATTCTCTTCACTTTACAGCAAATATTTCAAATGTTATGTTTTAATTTAAATTTTTTAATGCAATTATTTTTTGTTAATATTTTGCTATACTTACTAAGTTTTCTAATTCGATTGAGGTTGCAGATTTTTCTACTACAGTTAAGTAAGTCTCTGTAAAGCCGCTGACAAATACTCTTAACACAGCTGCTGCTGCCATGTATGGGAAGAGTCTCCATTGCTACAAACAAAAAAATTAAAATATAATTTACTATTGTTCTATGGGTTGAGAAATATTGAATTTAATGGAATAAACATTTTTGAGAAAAAGAGTAAGATTTAAAAGATAAGTAGCTTAGATATATATTCGCAGCTTAGATATAAAACACAAATAGACTGTTGCAATACAGGCCCATGCTTCCAGTGCGACAGAGAAAACGGATACAAAGCAGTCCCTGCATCTGGTGTGTAAAAAGGGTAGTGAAGCGCAGTACATGATGCCGTATCCTATTAGCCTCTCCTAACAGGATACAGAATGCTCTCATTCTCTCTCCGGATGCCAACCATAATGTAGCTTCGCCTATTTAAAAAAAATTAAAGTGTTTGTCCTTGTGTAGTGTAGTGTGATGTACAATTTTATGTTTATAACATTGTATAATTGTTGGATAGGCCAAAATTGACGAAATACCCCTGAAGATGTTCTAGGAAGCGAAAATACTTGGGCAAGATTTAATTAATTAAACTGTGCTCGATATTTGCCTTTTATTTGATCAAAGTTTAATATTATTTTGTTGTTAAAGTTATACTTTAATGTAAACTGCACCGTTTTACGTTATTATAAACTACAGTGTTTTTAAGAAAAGTTCTTTTCGGATTGGGAGGCCAGATAAGTGAAAAAAAATGAAACTAAAATAGCAATAAATTTAGGTAAGCTTACATGGACAAAAAATATAATACTCATGAAGCAAAAAAAGTTACGAGAAGTTGAATATCATCATTGTAGGAATAAATGTACCAATAATATTTCACGAGAACAAAGACTTTCAATTTTTTAAAGAGTATTGAGCTTTGGGAACTGGAATCTCCCAAACAGCTTTCAAAAGTCTCCTCGGGGCGCACCATGCATAGACAAAAGAGGAAATAAATCAGCACTAGAAATAATACTCCGAATAGAGGGTATCTTCCCCAGGGGTGTAATTTGAAAAGAATGTGCAAACTTTATTGTGATTTCTGTAAGTAGGAGAAAAAGTAAAAACTTTTAACGTAAAGCATTTACAGGAATATTTTTAATAGTTCAACCTTAGTTTCAAAAGGCTCAGTATAGACACCTGTGATAAATGTGACAAATTTCAAATAAAATAAATCATGGTACGGCAAAAGAAAACGCTTTAGCTTAGACAGAACAAGACTTTTTCTTGCGTAAGGCGGAAGCCGTATGAACAACAAAAGATGAATTCATGACCTAAAGGATGCTAGCAAAGTTGCGATCATCTTTGACTTGCCAAAAACTATGCCAAGTCCTAATGTGTCAACTTCTAAAGCATATTATTTAAGGCAACTATGGACGTATAACTTAGGGCTCTATAACCTACAGACTGGAACGACTAATTTCTTTATGTGGCACGAAGGTCAGGCGTCACGTGGATGTTAGGAAATATCATCTTGCCTCTTAAAATATATCAGAAGCCCTCCCAATCTGTGAAACACATAACTGCATTTAGCGATAACTGTGGAGGCCAAAATAAAAGTCATAACAGTCAAATTTTAGAACCACTAATATTCAAGTAGACCAGCGCTTTTTTTATAGGTGGTCATTCTTATAATGACTATTTTCAAATTTTTGGTTTGATAAAGTTAAAAATGAAATAAACCAAAAAGTACTTGTATGTACCTCAACATTGGATGGAGCTGGTAACTTCTACACGTAGAAACTTCTTTACAGTTCAGATGGAAAATGACGATTTTTTAGATTTTCAAACACTTACGCCATACTTCAAGAAGAGCTTAAGTGAAATATAGAGCATGCAATGGTTATATTTTCAACAGAAAAAGCCTTTAATAACTCTGTTTTACAAGAAAACAACTTGAGGTATCATGGAAGAGTTTAGCCTCTCATTAACAAAGCTAAATATTCAAATCTCCCAACAGTTACTTAACTACGTAGCAGTGCTACCATCAGTTTTTCATAAATCTGCTACATGATGGTCAACAAGCTAGAGAACTAGCAAACTTAGAAGAAACATACGTCGAAAATGACGATTTGTACAAAATGTGTACAAAAACTTTATGATCTTTTTACATTTTTTACCTACATGTTGCATTTCTTAGAAGTAAAAAAGTACAAGTGCTACTTAGCAACCTAAAATGACTCCAAAATAAGTAAAGTCAATAAAATTTTGATTTTTTGTTACAAATAATGATAATAATGCCTACAGTGAAGAAAAACTGGCATTAAAAAATCATGGCAATTACAGTGAAGGCTCAATGAACGGCGTTTACTCAAAAATTTACTTTTTGTCACTTATACCCCTTTACTTTTAGGGTCTTCAATTAAACCCGTTTCTAGAAAACAATGGCATTTGAAGAGTGAGAGGAAGATTAAATAATTCTTTATTTTCATTCGAGAAAAAAATCATCAAAAAAACATCAAGAAAAATCATCTTTCTCAATTATTAGTAAGACAAATCCATTTTATATTGTTTCACGCAGGGCTGCAACATACTCTATGCTACTCCAGTAAACTGTCTGTCTATATACCAGTACCTACTTTAAGTCAGGCAGCGTTGGAGCAAGGAGCATGTCAGTGGACTTCAACAAAAGACTAAGTAAAAGTTGAATTACGATTCATATCGTGATCGTTGATACATCAGAACGGACTTCCTCATTATAATTAGAGGAAATAAAAATCAACCTCCGTTGACAGAAACTTGAACGATGGAAGAGTCTTCATGTTGGCAACGATGGAGCAGTTCGAGTTGCTACTATACGGACCACAGATGTAATGATAAGATATAATTTTCAAAATTTGGCCACTATCACTGGGAGTCTAAACTACATTTACTTTGCTGTTTTTAAGTGTTACTTTTATTTTATGTACATTTTAAGTTTGAAAGGCATCCTCTTTCAAGGCAGGGAGCATGTTTGGAATCCACAGACTATACAAACAACTTGACAACAGTTTGTGCCTAACGAATAGCAGAATAGCATCGGCGTATCTGGCAGTGAGAAGATAAGAGACCACGATCGACCATAGAGACAATATACACGACTTTCATCAGTTTTTGTTTTCTGGTTTATATCACAATAAAGCTGATTTACAATCACTGTCTTCTATAAAGTTAATTTATTCATTAACAGCTACTTAAAATTCGGATAGAATTCTCTTAGTGACAAAAAATCGATCAAACCTGGAATTATGTTTGTATCAGTTGGCCATGCTTCGCCTGTTTATACATATGCATGTATGTATGTATAGATTACAAGCCCATAGGAGCTTTTTAATAGGTCATTGGACCCAGCATATATCCCATATAATACAATACTATAATTGTAAGAACAGCTTTAGAAACTATTCAGTCAATTATTATCGGTATAGGTGCGTCACAGGTATTTTTGGCCAAACATATTCGTACGACTTATGTAGGTAATGCAAAAATAACTAGCTGCGACCTAATGCCGTACAAAAATATTGGTACCAGGAGCAGGGATATTTTTTTTCATTTCGGCAGTTTAACACAATACGGCAATCGGCAATCAATAATCTATGTATGATTTTTTTTTTGCAACGCCATATATTTCGGCTGGAACAGCGGTGAGAAATCTAAGGCGCAACCCTTAATTTGAACTCCCATGCGTTGAATATTTTCTAAAGTTGTTATTACAAATTGTAGTATTGATTAATATGTGATTAATGTTGGGTCAAGTGACCCCCTAAAAATGTTCCATGGGCTTGTAATCTAATATACTATCTAAAATTGTTGTTTCTCATTGGCATTTATATTCTGCCTTTCGAAGTTCTAATCTGCATTCCTAGTAGGTGTGTTTCGCGTTATAGCCGCCACGTGCAAGAAATCTATTACCGAGAGAGTTGAAAAATTCTTGATATTTCTTATCACCAAATGGGAAGGAAGGGCCAGAAAACTACGGCCACTTATCCATTCCCACGGTGCCTTACAAAGGAACTTTGACCAGTCTATTCGAAATACCCTCTGCGTATATTCCATCTTCTGTAAATACTTAACATTTCCTACATGGAACTAAAATAAAACAACGTTTAGGAGGTGGACAACGTCCAGCCACAGAGTCTCAGTGTTCGGAGAACCGGAACAGAGCCCCGGCATCGGATTCCCAGGGTACAGGAGACCCTATTTGGGAGTCGAGACCAGACTGGCCGAGAGTTGAAAATTTCCCATATTTATATGTTTCTATATGGCATTTTCAGATCACTCGGCCAATAGCAAAAAATCGAAGATGTTTTGAGGCTGGGCGATGCGCATCGGGGTGGCAAAGTGGCGAAAGTCCACTACTAAGCCTCCAGAGACATTCTGTATATTTATAAAGTGTCGTGGAGGACTGTAAACTTCACTGTCTGACAGAGAACCATTCCAATGTTCTATGCTAACAGTAGTTGCTTACATACATAGTATTTTCTAAATTCATTTGGCTGATGGTGTTTATTGATAATCTAGTGTACAGTGCCGTCCGGATGTTCGGTATTATTATGAGATAGTTTGAAATTTTGGGATAACTTCGATTTGTATAATATGTTTCAACAGTATGTCAATGTTGTAAATTGATACAATTGCTGTTAAATTCTGGTTTCATGAAATTTTGGTAACGGCAGTAGTGAGAAGATTTTAGCATTGTGCTCATTTGTTTCATTAATGTTTTTAACATACCTTTTATAACAATAGAGATATAAATAATATAAAGGATATAAAGAATAAAACTAAGGCGAAAATACAGAGACAATAACTTCGAAGAGGACACGTGGATGGCAAAGAAGAGTGTCGATGGCATGTCGGTCGATTTAGTAGGACGTAAATATTACTGACATAAACAATAATTCCTAAGTGTTCTAGAACCTTTTTTGGTATATTGTATGTAATTACATATATATGCAAAATATTTAAATATTACGTTTTCTATTAAAACTTTCCTATAAATGCATTAACTTACATGTAAGGGATATTCAATAATAGGTAACTCGTTCATATTATTATTGCCTTCCCCATTTGGAGCAAATTGTTTCCTAACGGCCGCATACCTCAATGCTATCGTAATAGCACAAATGAGATTATTCGAACTTTCTTGCATAATGCCCACTCGTCCCATGGACAAATTTTCTAAAGCTGCTCCCAGAATTTTTCCGGGGATCAGTAAACGAGCTTTCATAGTCTCCACTAGGCGTTACATCTGCCGTTCTGTTAAGTAAGTTTTCTCTTGGTATCCTGAAGTTCTTGAACATTATAAATCTAAAAAAGTAAATAGATATTAATGTGGGAATATAATTAGTACTAAAACACGTGTGCAACTGCAACCTTCAAACTACAATACTTATGTTTTTGTTCAATGAACATAAAAAATGCAAGGGCAACAAGACTGTTTTTTTTTAATTTTCACCACATGGTCATCATTGAAATTTGACAGTTAATGTTTCGATTTTAAATCTCACATGCTATATAAGTATTTGCCTACTTATTAGAAGCTTATCTAAGGATTCCACAAGGAAACTAAGTTCCTGTAGCTGGCTGTATACCATATATCACAAAAAAAATTTTGTTTAAAATCCTTTATAAAATGTATATAAAAATGCCTCAAACGGGCTATCACAAACACATTGCAAAACGTTTTCGGATTAAACAATCCATCATCAGTGCAAACCTGAAAGTATATAACCACTTTAATTAAAAAGAACGTTAAATGAAAATGTTGACAAAGGTTAAAGCAAAATGTGGTTAATACTTACGTTTGTACATTACGGTGGCTACTAGCATGTACAACCGTAAGTATTAACCACATTTTGCTCTAACCTTTGTCAACATTTTCATTTAACGTTCTTTTTAATTAAAGTGGTTATATACTTTCAGGTTTGCACTGATGATGGATTGTTTTAATCCGAAAACGTTTTGCAATGTGTTTGTGATAGCCCGTTTGAGGCATTTTTATATACCTTTTATAAAGGATTTTAAACAAAATTTTTTTCTTATCTAAGGAGTTCCATGAAAATGCAGTTGGCAGAATAACCTGTCGTCACTTACTGTCAATTGTCTAAGATGTCATATCAAAAATAAAATAATAAATTAATGATTATTGGCACGTTTTTCAGTTTTATACTAATTAAATGCTATACATTTCATCAAAATTTGGCCAAAGTGGTAATTTTTATGAAAACTCTTAGGGTATTCGGTGAAATGTCAAGAACACTGAACTTACAACAAAATGTTACATAGAAGTCTAGTAATTCTTCTTGTGCCCTGCTCGATTAGCGTGCGTTGGCAATCAAATTGATTATATTAATTTTGTTGACGACAGCTAGGAAAAGGGATGCAGAGGATCTGTTAAAATCTAATATTTCTAATTTCTTATTCATCATATATAAATAAAGATATCATATTTAATATTTAAATATCCGATAGCCAAGAGGGCCACAAGTGATCGAATCGCATTCATTTCACTATAAATGATCTAGCAGACATACGATGGTTCAGGCCCTGGCCAGAAAATAAAAAGGATACCGTGCTAATTTAAAATTCTACATGAATTTGTACTTAGACTGGAATACTGTTTACTAGGGATTACAATTTAAGAATTAGTCGATAATATAAATTTGTACGTTTAAGTAAATAAGTGTTTTAAATTAATTGTGTTTTTAGTGTTAGTCTTAGAAGACTGTAAATAAATTAAAATACACATAGCAATACGCTGGTGTATCGGATCGAAATATGAATGAACAGTACGTTAAGAGATTCCTTTAAGAGCATAGATCATAAAATTAGAATAATACATATAGGTTTGTCGTATTTCTTAGGCCTCAACAAGCTGATATAGATGATGGTGTAATCGTTTAGTAGTGGCAAATCAATAGATCCGCATTATTGTAATATATCTTTCATTAACAAAACATTGATTCTCTAGTCTTGGACATACGAGCCCCTTCAGGAAAATCATCGTAACCAGCAAAAGTGGAATTTTACAGGAGGAGGTTTTTTTTAATTAATGTTCGTACCAATCAATATTGAAAGTAAAATATTTTATATTATATTATTTGGTAGTGTGCTATACAAATGACAAAAGTAATTATGTTGTATGTTTTAGTTTTTGTAATGGCACTGGTACTTACAGCGAAATCTTTCCAATTTAAAAAATTAGAAAAATCCAATAATTCAGTAACAGAGTTAAACAATTTGTTCAAAATTGCATATAACCGTTGGCCATTCTCTTGGAGACCGCACAGTTTTACCACGGCTGAAAAGTTCAATGCTACTGTGCACATAGTCTAAGGGTATCATTGTATGTTCTGGTAACAGAAATTTTTTTATTCTTTATAAATAAATGCACTTCTTTCGATGAAGGTAGGATTGGCCAGCATTGCTTGTTACGATTCTGTCCAGAACAGCTGTCGCAATATAGATAAATTTTTTCAAGTGTGGCTTCAATATCTTTCTTTTTTAAATACATGCAAACTATTGTACAAATTTCGTTGCAGCCTCTTGTTGCATCTTATTCATCCCACAAGTAACAATAAACATTTGCAGAACCGCTCTTATAAAATCTTTCTTCAGATCAAAGCTGACACACAGCACAGATCCTTCTTTTGAAAGATTTTTATCTTTCAAAAAAAATTTCAAGGCACTTTTCTTTATCTTTAATGTGTTGATTGTAGGATTCTGTCTTCTTTTCTTCCTCTTGTTTAAATACTTAAATCTTCTCACAAAGATTACATTTGTCTTTCTTTGGCAGATGAAAACCAGTATGAAAATCTGACCGTTATATTTTCCGAAACTTACTAAGTGATACAATTTCAGTTAGTTTTTCACAGTCAATGAGATATTTTTTATATAACCGATACACATTTGTATTGTTCTCAAACTCGGCTGGAAGATATAATTTATTGCTTTTGTTCCTACAGTAATGCGAAGGAACAGTCGGTAGTTGTTTAATGGATTTCTTTACCAAAGAGACTTGATTAGAAATAAATTTATTTTTGGGCTCTTTTCCCCCTTTGAGCTTGTTAAGCCATGTTAAGCGTTTTAATTAAAAATTGTTGCCAAACTTTTACTTTTCCATTGTTATATGGAATATAATATTCAATGGTTTTTGATCTTCGCATAGACACCTTTTTCGTTTAATTGAGGATTCCACCATATAGAAAAAAATCCAATCTCTTTGCCATTGTGAGCTTACCATACCTGGGCTTTACTCAAAACCAACCATGCAAAAGTAAACTAACGATTTTTTATACGCACGGTTACGATGTTTTGCCTTTCACTGATAACGATTTGTGTTGGTAACCATAACATGCCTTATGATTTTTACAGTCAAAACCGTGTTCGTTCGGCTTACGACGTTTTGGTCAACGAAAAAGCTTGTTGTTAGGATCACTTTCGATGACAAATCAAAAATTCGAAAACTTGTTGGTTACGATGTTTTTCCTGGAAGGGCTCGATATGCTTGTAAGGGCATCATATCTACACGATATGACTTCCAGCTTTTTTTGGACTCAATGTGGGATATGTTGATTAACTCTTACCATATTAATATTATTATCAAAGAATAAAAGGTAGTATTACGAGGTAAACAAGAAATGAATTCGACAAAATGAGCTTGAATAGCAAGAACAGCAAGATATTATAAGCAGATTTGTAGCCTTTGAACTATAGGATACAAAAATAATACTGGGGCATCAGAAGAAGGCCCCAGTATTCTACTAGATCAGAGAATAAGCTGGGTTAATCAAGTCACAAATGTTGAGGTATTGAGAACAATGAAAAAAAAAAAATAAGAAGTTCTGTACGCCATTAAAATTAGAAATATACAGTAAATATAGGCAAGAATACGCATTGCCGTGATGATTGCCAATCTTAGACGAGATGGCATATAAAGAAGAATTGTAAGTCCTAATAAAATACGGAGATCTGAAGTTATCCCCACACCTTATACTCTGAGTCATAAAACTTAAATCAACAATTTTCTAGGTCCCCTAAAAGTATTTTTAGGATGCTCCAGTGCTGTAACCATTTTGTAAGATAACTTCGAAAGGACTTAAAAACTGAATCATGTACGTGTCTTTGAACAGGACGGCGACTACGAACTGTCCCACACTACCTAGATTTTAATGGGTTAAGTTTAATAGTAGGATTAAAAGCGACTACGAACTGCCCCACGCTACCTACGTACTTAGATAATATTTTTGTGAACATAATATAGTTTTTATTTTACTTTCTTGTATTCAAAAAGGAACCCAATTCCCAAAGCATGAGCGAAATTTTAAATGATTAAATAATGAAACTATAACAATAGAAGTAATCGAATAAAGTTTATTTATAAATCTACATTAACTTATATACAATAACAAAAACTACAGTTAAACAATAACAATGCTTAATTCTAATGTCAGACTAGTGATTCAAATAAGTAAGAGTGAACACTTTATTTTAGATTTTAAAAGTTAGCTGCATAATAATTGCAAACTGACTTAATGAAGTCCAATTTAGTAATGTTTTGATTAACGTAATATTCATTTAGCCTATTTTCAATAAAATCAACTTTTCTTTTTGCCGTTTTATCAAGTTTTTTTTCGAATCTATGTGCAGTTCTAATTTTCACATATACTTCTGCTTGAAAATTTAACAAAATGTGTGTAAATTTAAATATGTCAGGATGTGATTTATAAAAACATTCGTTAAATTTCGAGTGAAATGATTCACATGCGTTTGTAGTAAATATAAGAGATGATGAATTTGAAGCCCATATGTAAGGTGGAAATGTTGAATCTTCCGTTAAATAATTATCAACTAGGTAATCACAAAATTGCAAAACTCTGTCATCTTCTGGCATAATATTAAAAAGTTCATCAGAAAAAAAGTCACCAACATCATTTGGATGTAAATAAGGAATGCCGAAAAAACAATTTTAAATATTTTCCAATAACAGTTTGATTTTTATATTCCGAGGACAAACCTAAATTTTGAATTTTTCGGTACCAATTTTGTGTTAAATGAAATTTGCAACAAAAATAATAATGTCGGGCCACACTAACTTGGCTGCATTTTGAATTGCTATTTCAAAATCAGAAATTATTCGCTTCGGTTTGAAATTTAAATTCAAATCTGTACATATTGTTATTAATGTATCAAAAGTACTTTTGTACGATTGCTGTGATTTATTTGGTAACAAACAAAATACTAGAGGAACATAAAAACCATTTTTGTAGCCATGTATAGTAAACATCTGACAAAAATATTTAGAACAGTATTGAAAAGTTCCATCTACATACAAAGAATCTACATTACACAAAAAGTAAAGATTTGTGAAACAACTAAAAATTGCGGAATTATTTTTCGTAGATAATAAAAAGTTTTCACCTGTATTTGTTTTTAAATTTAAGTTCACTAACACTTGTAGAACTTCCTCCTGTGACTTGGCAATGATGGTGTGGATTTTCGTCTTGTAGCATATATATTTCTTCGAACGCAAGAAATGTCTTTCGTCGTCAGTGGTAAATTGCTGAATTTTTCCTTTCTCAATTCCTTGTGGACAATCTTAAAAGGTTTTTCACATATATCTTCTACAGCTTTTCTCTTTGTAGAATTACTAAAAATTTGCCGGTCTACGTGGATATCTGGAGCATGATTATGCTCCGATGCTTTTTCAAGAATAACATAATTTTCATCACCTTCCTTTGTGTACACTTTTTGTTGACAGCCTTTTTTGATGCATCGCCATCTAACTTTTCCATCTTTGGAGACATGGGCTTTTGAATATTTATATTCATTAATTATTAATAACAGTTCTCCCCTTTGACTAAACATAGTCGTTGGATTCGCCATTTAAATGTTAAACACAAAACTATACCGTAATACTTGCAACTGAAGTGAATAACTGAAAATATTTATATTATTACTTTCAACTATGATCAAATTTGGAATTTCCGGTCATTAAGACTTAATCCCCAACTTTCTCGGCGATGGGGCAGTAGGTACTTCGGATTAAAGGCCCCAGGTAGTTCGTGGGGCAGTTTGTAGTCGCCCGAACAGGAATTGAAACGAGCTTTCAACTAAGATGTTATCTGTCATATGATCCCATTAACAATAACTTTACAAAAATGGCTTCCATCCAATTTTATAATGATTACGTTATTGACATGTCATAAAAACAAAGAACACGGTGCCCTATTTTCATTACCTAGATATTTAGTAATTTAAGTTCAAAGTTATAGTTAAAAAATAGTTAATTAACAGTTCAGTTAAAAATTTAGAAAACTTACCCATTATCAATACCGTTCAATCCAATCTTTTCGCCCATATCTCCTACTGTAATACCCGGATATGGACTCATTGTTTTAGGATTTCTAATTGGAACTATAAATGCATGTAATCCGTGACATTCTCCTTTGGTATACAGTTGGGCAAAAAGTAGTGCGTGCGTGCATTGTTTAGCTGAAAATTGAATTATTAAAACGTGTGTACTAAAAACATAACAATGTGTAGTATGTGTAGCTGAACCTTTAAAAAGAAGTAACAATTTAAATTTTCAATTTTTTTTTAAACATACAATTTCCCTTCAATTTTATTTTACCTAAATTTCCTACCCAGCACTTTGCAGCTTCAAAATCTGGCGTGTTTATTACAAATTCTTGTGTTTGTGGGTCGTATGTTGCAGCTGTTCGCATCTGTTTCGTGTTACTTCCATGTGAGATTTCTGTTAGCGCTAGACATGACAACATCTAAAAATAAATAAAAAATATTAAATGAATAATATATTCCAATTCTAATATTAAATGATACCAAAGCAGCATTTAGTTCAAAATATTCTAGTCATAAAATAAACAGCATTGAAAAAAATTGACCCTTCACAGGTTTTTTTCCTGGTTCAAGAAAATGTGTTTACTTGCACTAGTAAGAAAGAAGAAAGCGCAACAATGAGAAAAATTGTCTAAGAAATGGAACATGATTTATTACCAAAAGATTAATGGACAAAAGGTAAACTGAAATCAAAAACTACAACTCCAGAAAAAAATTAAGAGTTACCGAAGTACTGATACAATACTCTTAAGAAGTACATTTAAAAACCAACCAGCGAAATCCTGTAGAGAATAGCAAACCACACCGAAGACCGAAGAACAAATAACAATTGTTTCCTGTTCTGTGCCGGAGATGAGAAAATGACTAATTGTAGGAAGTTATTCAGTAATTTGTGGGAACAAGATAATTTAAAATGGTTTCAAATTAGAGAAAATGGGAATAGTGTCCAATTAAAACAGTGGAAATATGAATTAATCGGAAAGAATAAAAATCTACTACAAGCACGAAAAACAGAGTCTCGTACAAACTTTCAACGTGAGCGTACACGTACACGCCAAAGTGAAGACCCAGAAAAACTAATAAAACAAGGTCTAATCGTGAAACGTGTCGCGAAAAAAACGGCAATAGAGCGTGAGAAAAAACGGTCGCGAAAACCCGCGAACGGATCCACGGTACCGGTTAGTGACGCTTTCTGGACGAGAAGATCACCAGAAAACGAACAATAGATACGAAATTGCCACGTGGAGGCGTAAAATTTTTACATGTAAGGCGCCAAAACTGGTAATTAGCATCAAACCGAACGGGCGTGGTGCAACCGGCTGACAAATCCTTGTGTACTGATATTTCTCTTAAAGCACTATACTGTGCTGATATTGAAAAAATAAGGGGGCAGGGAAGTGTTGGCATTGGTGGCATGTCTGGAGCTCTTCGCCGTAGGAGTTCTTCCGAAACGAAAAAGTGCTCGATCACCCAGGTAAAGTCTCACACACACTCTCACAACACACACACATCCTACTCATCCCACCCATACCAATTAAGTTCACAAACACAATTTCCTACATATATCAATATATCATATCCTAACCAATTTCCTATAGTTGTTAATTCCCTTCCTATCCAACACAATTTCCTACACATATCAATATATCATATCCTACATTTACCAATTCCCTTTTCCTTCTAATATACACATAAAACCCACAATATGCCACGAACAAGATCCAAATTACGAAAACAGCCAGATCCTCCTCAACCAGCGAAAGCAGAGGCCGATTGGCAATCTGTTTCCGACTCCCAATCTTCTTCTTCTTCCTCGCACACCTCACATGTGTCAGTCAACATTGACGGACATGAACCTCGGACGCCACAGGAATGGAAGCAGGCTCTTACAGAGATCTGTCACCAAAATCCTGAGGCTGCCAGCGAACACCTTACTCCAATAGTCCACAAAATCAAAAATCAAAATCAACAAACAAAATCACCAACTCCTGATATCATCCGTAAAATCCTCCAAAACGCCTTTATGTCTCCAATCACTGGATACATCCCCTCCCCTTCACCTCCACCACCCCCTTACTACATCACACTAATCCCTCAAAAATATTCCAGCCAAAGAAAACTCCTAAGAACCTTCAAAAACCATAATCTCCTCAGAGATATCCCTTTCGAACTGGAAACGGAAGCATCCGAAAACCAGGCCATCCTCTACACTACAGGCCCTCTTCCCAATCTTAAGGAGTGGGAGAAGGGTCTGAGATCCCTCAATCCCGAAAGCCTTATATCCATTTCCAAACAGAAACCTTCTGAATACATAGAAACCAAAAACACCACTCCCAAAATCCTAGCCACCCCCAAGAAAACACACACAAAAGACACAACCAGAACAATTTCACCCCACCCCTTCCACCTCCAGGGAAGACAAGCCTCAACAAACCCCTCTTACCCTCAACCCCCTTATCCAAACCCCTACACATACACCAGAAATAGCAGTACCACACACACCACCAACACCACACCCTATTCATTCACAAACCACCTCACCTAACCCTTAATTAACAATCCCTTCCCCCTCCCCTCAACAACCACCCCAATTCAAAAGCTACAGAATAGAGGCCATCCCTACTGATATCTGCCAGCAGAGACCTTTCTATCGCCTCCTCCTAGAACACAACCTCATCCCTAAATTAGACTCGATAAAAGTCTTCCCAGCCCAAAAGGCGGCCTCAATCTGAACTACAAAACTTCTAGATATCGCCCACGTCACGGCAAACCTTCGAAAAATTATCCAAAACGACCACATCCGAATCGTCGCTCGTCTACCTAAATCCCAAAATCCACTACCCAATCCAAACAATTCGTCAATCTTTCACCTTGTCAGAGCCGGCGTGGCAAAAACCTTTTCTCAAAAATTAATCGAGGATAACTTATCCGAAAATAATTTTCCATTCACCAAAGTAGTTCGAATAATCGCCCCGCTCCACCAACCAACCTACCTCCTATATCAGAGTATTCACTAACTCTGAAATAAAGTTCGCTGAAGCGCTCTCGAGCGGTATCTTGATCGAGGGTGAACGGTTGGCCTGTGAAATACCACGATCAGGCAACTCCGTCCCCGTTCGGTCCAAGTATTGCTCGAGATGCTGCAACAGCGGACACTTCAACACATAATGCCCCGAAAAAATCAATAATTTGCCCGTTCTGCGGGCTCAGCCATCGGTCTACTGCCTGCCCCACGATATCAGCTCCCAAATGTCCTAACTGTAGCGGTCCTCACCCTGCTTTCTCACCACGATGCCCTCACCGAAGCGCTCATCCCGCTAATTATAACCAAACCCAACCAATATACACAGAGAAGCAAATTCCTTCCTATGACCTATCCTCTGATATGAAATCCCTAATACATTTCACATCCATGCTCCTATTCAACGTCTTCCCCGAAAAGAGAATCGCAATAACCTTATTCCTCAACCAAATCTCAAATGCAATGTATGGATGTGCTATAGCCACTTCATGCACAAACAACCTCATCAATCAAACCTTCACCCACCTACACATCTAAAAAAAACACACCACACACATCAACACACATTCACACACACACTCAAACAACACCCATCCACAACACTTTACCTCCACTCCGCTCACAATCCAAATTAATAAACACCTAATCCTATACCACAATTAATAAACACATAATCCTAATCAGTAAACACACAAAAACACCACAAACATTCAACACATCACCTACACTGTGAGCACCGTCTACACTCCTTAAGAGTCGCTTAAATAATCACAAGGACAGGGGGAGATTGGTTTTCTGTGGTTTCCCAATCTCATTGCACAATGATACCTGATCCTAGTTGAGGATATAGCCACAGCTATCCTCCACGCGTTTTTCCAACAAACAAAAATGGCCAATAATCTGAAAGGAATCGTTTTTTCCACGGAACTTGTACTTCGTGACAGGCTTGGTATACTTGGCTAACTCTTCCGGAAGGTACGATTTCCGCCTCTTGCCTTCTTCTTGTTCTCGGTATCCTTCCCGTCCTTCTCCTCACCCTTTACCTTTTTTAGTGGCGGCGCCCTTAGTCTTCGGAGTCCAACTGAAGTTATACGAACGAAAACTGGCATTCAAACCAAACAAGCATCAGCATCCAAATAATTAAACCCACCCTTGAAGAAGCACAGAGCTTAAAGCAAGATAAAAATGCAATTGATTGATTGCACGAAAAACTCTGAAAAGCTTCAAAACAAACACAAACCAATATAGACCAGACTGGAATTGACCAATTGAATAAACATGAACAGATGACCTGAAATAAAAAACATCACCAACAGGATTAGTATAAACAGACAGCGTAAGCCACAAGAAGCTTTAAAATAGGTACAACGAATGAAAAACAATCAAGAATAGAATCCAGGGAGGATATCCATCGTGCTTATGAAGTATTCTCCATTTGTGGTAATAGATATATTGTATGAAATTTCTCGTAATTGCCTCTTAAAAGAGATCTATTTCCAGCTTCTTCTTTTGGTATCATAAACTAGCAGCGTTTTTACTGGTTGTCGAAAGCACAGTGATTCCTCTTCCTCTCGTCCGATTATAGTGCTAACATCAAATAAGCCAATCAGTTTCTTATCAGTCCCTAAAATATGAATGTTGCTTGCAATTAGAACCGCTTTGGCCTTAAATGTTGCCCATATAGTCCAGGATATGACGGTTTTCAGCTCAGAATCCTTTTTATACGCAAAGATTTGTTTGAAATTTTGACAGTAGGTAGAAAATAGTTCTAGTAGAAAACTATACCTCTGGGGTGGAAAACTTTATAAAAAAAAAAACTATGGTAGTCGCTAGAATAGTGAATTTTAAGACAAAAATGTTCTTTAGAGTTTTTTCAAGTAAGTCAATATTTTTTGATATTGTTCTGAAGCTATTTTCTTGTGGCATTGTAAATTAATTACTATTTAACTGGAAATAAGCCACAATTAAAGATAAAAATACGTTTATTGACGTTTCAATTTCCACTTCGGAAATCGTTCTCAAAATACAAAAAGTAAATTAAACAAATTTTGTTTTTTGTTACATAGTGAAAAATTCTTCTAATAATTTAATTTATATCTGACTCATTTATATTGACAATTCAGACATACATTATGCATTTTAAAGTAGACGACATTAAAATGATATTGCCAATATTGTTGAGTTGCGCTCCTGGGACGACTTTACTTATAAGATAGTTCATTCGATTACATGAAATCAACTTTAACTTGATAATATCCGTCAGAAAAAATCATAGCATGTAATTCGTCTTTAAAAAGACAAACACATGACATGATGACAGTAAAATTCTCCTGTTAGTGATTCCATAGTAAATTATGAGGGAAAAAACCAGGAAAAAAAAACCTCATAATACTATCCCGA